GCAGAGACCAAATTACATGTTAACAGCCCCCGCCACCGCTGCGGACAATCAACTATTATCTCTGCTCTCCAGTTTTTATGTCGCCCCCTTTTTTGGGTAACCACCGAGCACACCGCGCACCGGCTGCTACCAATGGACGAGGGAAATTCTTAATATTCCGACACGCAGTGGAAACCAATGGTGGATAAAATAAGAAATATATATATAGAGAGAGAGAAAGAGAGAGAGAAGCACTCGAGGGAGGAATACGAATACCGCCGCCATCCTCGACACACTGCCACTATAAACGGATTATCTTTTATGTAATGCTTCTAAGATGGAGGCAGTATAATAGATGTTTGCCATTTCTCATTTTATTAAACCGTAGGAAGAGACGCAGAAGTCGACGATAAAGTTGGCCGTTAGTGGAAACGGATAATAAAATAAACGCAATTGGACTAATCTTAATCCATCTAATAGCTCTGATCAAAACGAAATAACACGAAAGCTACAATATTTTTGATTATGTTGATATTCAAGATAATACAACTAGTATTATTACTAACGTACATCCTTTTAATTAATTAATAATCTCTGTTCGAACTAACGTACAAAATCATTAGATAGATTACTCTTTTAAAATAAACCAGTGATCTGCAAAATTTAGAGACATATGAGCCAAACTTATTCTTAACAGCAATTGAAAACATAAACATATAAATTATAACTTAAACTATGATAGTTTAATTTATTATTTCTCTTCAGAACCAAAGATATTTTGATAATTGTAGTAGTAACTTCATTTATTTGTTTTAAATTCATTACATTTTGTAACGTAAATTAGCTAGAGATTAACGTAATCCTCTCATTGGGATTAACAGTTTTATTACAAAAAAAAAACAGAACTCTGGTTAGGGTGGAACCCTAAATACAAACATGTTCCACCCTTTACCAATTGAAAGATATAATCTCAGATAACACACTCTTGTAATCTAATTACTCTGCTATCTATTGTCAATAGCATTTTTATTATAAATAATTATATTTATAGGACAATAGTTACAATTTACTGGCCAGAAAATATAGCAAAAACATAAATTACATAAAAAATTAACAAAAAAAAACAAATACAAATTATTTTATAAATTATTCTATAAAAGGAGATATGTTTTTACAATTGAGTAAGTTTGTTAATTATCTTGTATAAAAAAAAATCTGGAATTATAACTTAATAGTAATTATAATTAAAGTAAATAGCATTAAAGGTTTTATATTAGTGTAGTGTAAGAACGCAATTTTATTCTTAATTGGCTTCAATTGAAGGTAAGTTAATCTTGTTAAAATTGTAATTAGTTTTATTCGCATTTTCATGTGTTAACTGTTTGTTAATTATAGTTTTTATTTTGTACCAAAAATTAAATAATACAGATAATAGATTAAAGTATACTTAATTGATATAAGTTGTTGTATTATTTAAAAAAAACAGTTTTGTATAAAATTTAAAAAAAAAGGTAATACTCATTTAATTCTGGTAATTGCAAATCTCCCGCATTATTTGAAACCGGACTAATCAAGTACTTTCGAATGTCATAAAAATAAACCACATAAAATGAGACTTGAGTGTATGAAGCCAGTATCTGACAAACTTTTTTAACTCACCAAATAAAAATTCCCACATAATCAAAATAGACTAAACTTTATGATCCAGCAAAATCCTATGTTACTTGCATTTTAGAAGATACGCACAGTTTAAAAGATACTGAAAAAAAAAACGATTATTTATATAGAAAAACAAATATGTACTAATTATAAATAACAAAAAAATAATTTTAATTTTACTAAATTTGATGAATCCGCACTGATCGAGAATGCATTATTTGAGATATTCCTGTATAATTAGCTTGTCAACAAACCATTTTTTTTTTCATTATATTGTAGGAAAACTATAAACATATTTTAATGAAAAATAAATGGAATTAAATATATTTACCCATTTTCTCATAACGAATTTACTAGATTTAGGTAAAGGTAACATATACTAAACTTAGATATGATACTATAATATTATTTGAATTGGTAAACATTATTTTACAGTTGGTAAGTCAAATGCAAATATCTTAACGAATACATATTAGAGTTAGTGATGTTTTTAACAAACTGAAGACTTGTACTAGTACTAGTTTCCAATTACTATTAGTAATATCGGTGGCAATCGCAAGCCCGACAACCGAAATCCCGACTATGTAAAAATCCCGACTACCATAATCCCGACTACCATAATCCCGACAATCAAAATCCCGACAATCAAAATCCCGACAATCTAAAACTTAAGATTATTAATTGTTTTTATTTGTTGTTAATAACAATAAACTAATTTTATTATAGAATATTTCTTATTCTTAAGTTTTATAATGAATAAGTCAACGAAAAAAAGAATACAATAATAATTAATATTATTTATTGTTATTAAGAATAAATAACAACAATTAATAATCGGGCAAAAGAGGTCTTAAAAATATTTTTTTCAGTATCCGTCGTATTAAAATATAGTACAATAATTTAAAAATGTTATTGTAGAAATTATAATAATAAAAGACACTGTCGGGATTTCGATATATTCGAGATTTTGATACAGTTGGGATTTTGATTGTCGGGATTATGGATTAACGTCGGTCGGTCTTGCGATATAGACCCAGTAATATATTACCCAAATGAAGTTTAATTTCGGGAGACATTAATTAGGAGACAAATTTTTTTTATCACAATTTTGACTAATAAATATGTTCCAAACTAACAACATTTGTATCGGATTTTGTGTCAAGTGTACTAGTTCGAAATAAATGTAATGTTGGTAACAGGAATAACGCATTGTCAGTCAATTTTGATTGTCAAGTTGTGGTGTCGATTTGTCGGTTGGTGTCGATTTTCGATTGCAATCGGTTGAGTTGAGATAATAGCAAATAAGTGAGTGATGTCGGTTGGTGCAGGGCCATCGTCTCGGACGCGTATCGAATTGCGGACTCCCCATATTGATGGTCTTTACAAATAATCGATGGGTATAAAAGTGAAATAAGCTTGTTTAATGATATAATTTAATGTCTTCAGTAATACACTTCTTGGGTGGTCCGCGGCAAATTGGTCCAGTTGGTCAGCTCGGCAGCCGACCGCGGCCCGTTTAATTGCTGCCCTCTCCTCACCATGGTCGATTGGTCACAGCCTCAGCCACACATGCAAAACAATTGCACCTCGTATTCACCTTGTCATCGTTCGAGCATACTACGTACCAACAGATGACTAGAATACCCAGGGATACATTCATGCTAGAATCATCTCCTTCTCACACTCGCAAACCATTCGTCCTATCTTTATTTCTTTCTCTTTCTCTTCGCGCTCGACCATCCACACAATATCACAACGAAATACATTCTGTAATGTATATTATTAAGTGGTCTCGCCATACCGTGCTTGTATATTATTTTAATTAATTGACCGGCTCCGGACTCGATCCCGTCAACGACGATTTCAATCATCTCCCGATTTGCGCAAACACTCTCGTTCATTTATTTATTTTCTCATTTTCTTGTAACATCAAGTAACAACACCGTCGACTGCTGCAGAACGAGACACTGATTGCAGCCAAGAAAACACGCGTTTTACATCTGGATATTATTAAATCGGGGACTTCAGCTTCTCATGATCCAAGGTAATCACTTTCAATTTTAAATACACTTTACTACTCGAACCTGTCGATTTCATAAGAACACTTTAAGCACAAATTCCTAATGACATCTTCCAATAATCATTCAGTTTTTCAATCACTATTAACATACAAACAACCTACTAAAACTTAAAAGTTTTGAATACAATATTTTTATTATTTTTAATAATCCCATTATACATGTGTATCTATAAGACATTTATAGGTAGAATCTCTATCAATCACATTACTAATCTTAAGAAACGAGTCTTTAATCACAACTCCTTAACAGTAATCTTAGGTGTGCCGATTTTTTTTTTTAAAGATGTTTAAATACATTAGATTCCAATGAAGTACAAAGCACAATCAGTTTAACTATAGGTCCAAGTTTAGCATTATATTAAAAAAAAAGATTTAAAAACACTGATCTAATTGTAGCAAATACGAAACAAAAGCACATACAATAATTTTAATACATCAATACTACTCATAGTGAGGAGCAGCAAAATAATCAGAATTGTCTGAATTAGACTAATAGCAAATCCAAATACATACCAATATAAACCGCACAAACAGAGAAGAAATACCTATAGACACTGAATAAATTTGTTTTCACATTTAAGATCTATTTAAGTTGCACATTTATATGAAAAATTTTCCAACATTTACATTTGTTCTAATCTTGATAATTTGCAAAAGAAATAATTAAATTATATTTAGTAAAAAATAAAAATTAAAAAATGTTCATTAATATTTTGATGGGATTTAATTAAGAAATTAAAACGTAATCAAAACATGTTCAATATTGGTACATCTAGCGCCATCTAGAATTCGGAGGATCAGCTGCTAGCCTGAACTATGACAGCTGCCACCTTGTGTTAAAACGTATATATTAGAAAACTCTAGGTTGCAGTTCGATTGCAAAAAGGTTGAGAAACGCTGTTAAAAACAATTGTAATATTCGTTAAAAAGATGGAAAAAGTACGTTCAAAGGAGACTTAAAAATGAACAAATAAGATTCAAAAGATCATCGAGATTGTTGATATCTCCTTGATTACATTTTACTGGATCATCGCAATATTGCCATACTTTGTTATATATTAAGCATAATATTATATATTTAAATAACAAATTTATTTATCAATTTTTTACTTTAATAAGTTGACTTAGATTTGGTGTGTTTGTTATAGTAGATGCGTTTTATATCATTTCAAATATACGAACTTTCTGTTCTAAGTTTCAGAAATTTTAATACTAAATCTAATTCCAAATTTATCTACTATTGATAAGTATATAAAATCTTATATGAAACTGTAGGAAACAATCAATATTTCCTATTGTACTTTTCATACAATTTATCCCAGAAATGCGCAAATTTCAAATCGAGAACACTATCTTTCAATCCATCAATATCCATGATCAGACAATTCATTTGATCTGGTTTGGCAGCTTTCCATTCGACATTATCTAATTCCGAAGAAGGACCATTTGGAATCGGTTTGCGATGTTTAGCAAAATTCGTCCATAACTTTACCATTTTTTCAACAAACTTATCTTCTGCACTTCCCTTTTCAATTTCAGGATTTAAACCATGCTTAAAAATATAACCTAAGTCGTCTACATGTCCAGCTCCTAAACAAAAGGTAAAGTTGAATGTACGTAATTCAATCTTTAATAATTTGAAACTCTACCTTTGTATTTGGCTATGTCAGGTACGAAGTTTTTGTATACATTCAACTTGGTATCAGCTCTAAACTCATACAAGTAAACAGGTTGGACATTTCCGTACTTCCTAATCACCTGTACAATTGGATATTTGAACCAAACGTCCGAAATCAACTCCATCAAATCATATCCATAATCCGCAGGTAATTTTCCATTGAAATAAAAATTCTTAAGGTCTTCCGTGACCTCTTTTACGATGGTTGAATCACCTTTCGTTAATAAATGAGGTATGTCGCGTTGCAATGTGAAGTTGTAATGAATACCAGAGGTTTTCACGAATAACTCCATTATATTACCATCGATATCAGTGAATCCTATCAGGTAAGGTACCTGAGACTCGAGACCTTCTTCAAATATATCCAATGCTTTAGCTGTTATGAAACTATCTTCTCTGTTTCTTTCAATTACAATACCACCGTTCCATTCCGTTTCCACATGTACATACTGTAATACAGTTTTATTAATATTATATTAACTATTGATAAGTTTAGTGATTTTACCCAATCTAGTGCTTGTTGTGCTTCAAATAAATCTTTATAGGGAACTTTACGCAACTCTTCAACGACGAGCTTCGGATCATCTGTGGTAATACCCAGTTCTCTTGCTATCTTGAAACCTGTATCTTTAGTCCCATATATCCATGGTGACAAGGCACTACCGCTCTGCGAAATGGCACCGTGGAAAAGTCCTTTGGACATCGGCGATAGCAAGTGCAAGCTTACAGCTGCAGCTCCGGCGCTCTCGCCGAAAATCGTCACCGAATCCTTGTTCCCACCGAACTTGTGAATATTTCTCTGAACCCATTTCAAAAGATACACCTGATCCTTCAATCCATTATTGGTAATTATATCGCTTCCATCGATATTCAAGAAACCTACACATTAAAAAGAAACTAATATCATCGATTGATCAATATATTGAATACGTTTTACCCATGGCTCCTAATCTGTAATTGAACGTAACTAAAACAATATCTTCAATCATTAAATGATGTGGACCAATTACATCGACACTGCTGGTCCCAAAATAAAAGCCACCTTCATGAATATAAATCATGACAGACTTTAACTGTTTCGGATTTAAATCTCTGGTGTAAACGTTCGCGTAAATGCAATCTTCCACTCCTGTTTGCTCACTGAATGGCTTCTGAAGACATGTTGGGACTTTTTTTGTTGCATCTCTTATACCATCCCAAGGACTAACACGTTCAAGTGCCTTAAAAATGTATTAAAAATAGATTTTGTTACTGCAAATATGTACAAATTTATATCCGATTAGTTACCTTAAATCTAAGCGGTCCAAGTGGAGGTTTTGCGTATGGAATGGACATGAATGCTAAAAAATATCCTCCATGGTAGTTCTTCATTGCCATTCCCTTCAATTTTCCACCTTCAACTTCAACAATGTGCTCTTCGCATTTGAACAAGTCGATTAACACCACAAGCAAGTAAAAATACAGCATTGTGAAATTCGATTCATTCGTACATAAAATACCAAATAATGTATATAACACTTGTTGCTCTTAAATAGTAGCTAAGTATAAATAATGGTAAATAGAGAAACCTATTAATCGCTTCAAAAACAGTATTTTTCACATAACTAAGTACTATTTAAAAATAATGGCATATTCGTGAAATATGTTGTTATTGAGAGAGTGAAACAAATAATAATTAATTGTTTATTACGTCGCAATAATATGGTAAACTATCACACAATTATTATTAGACGCTTTATTCCGTTTTGGAAAATTGAAAAGTTAAATTTTATTTCCCGGGATTCAAATTTTTGTCTATAATGTTAGTTTATTTTTTGTGTAAGACTAATAATAAACGAAGGATTTCTTTCTATTTGGTGCGAAACATCGGAAATTACTTTTACAAATTATCAAGATTAGAACATGAGATGCAAATGTAAATTTTGGAATTTTTTTCATATAAATGTTCAACTTAAATAGATCTTATATATGAAAACAAATTTATTCAATATCTATAGGTATTTCTTCTCTGTTTGTGGGGTTTATATTTTGGATTTGCTATTAGTCTAATTCAGACAATTCTGATTATTGGCTGATCCTCACTATGAGTAGTATTGATGTATTAAAATTATTGTATCTGCTTTTTTTTGTATCACTTTAGCCGAATATAATTAGATCAGTGTTTTTAAATCTTTTTTTTTTAATATAATGGTAAACTTGGACCTATAATTAATTGCTTATTACGTCGCAATAATATGGTAAACTATCACACAATTATTATTCCGTTTTGGAAAATTGAAAAGTTAAATTTTATTAACCGGGAATCCAGTTGATCATCAATTGTTGAAATACTTTAAATGTTAGCATCAATAGTATGAAAATTGGTGTCTTACTACTAAATTCATTTACTAATTGCACACGAATAAAATTCCATAATTATAAAACTGTACATGTTATTTAACTTTATTTCCTGCAACATACACAGAAACGACATTTCTATCGTCACCTAAATAAACAAACTTTTGCAACAGTTCAGAAGCGTTACAGCTTTGCAGCAAATCGACAGCACCATTTTCAACATCCATATCGATTATTAACGCATCGAAGTCTTTTCCAACTTTAAAGTTACCTACTTGATCATCCAACGATAAAGCTAAAAAGTTATAAAATGTTAAAATAAATGTAAGAATAAAATAAAATTATAATAAATTCAACCTTTCGCTCCTCCTAATGTAGCTAAACAAAACGCGTCGTAACAGTTAATATGTTTGTAATCAGGTTTTCCATACGAAAGATGTATCGAGGTATCTACTGCAGATCTCATGGCTTCTATTATTGATGGAGAATGACCTCCCGATACATCTACGAATAAATCATGTAAGAACTAGTAAAAGTAGAATGGAATTACACAAACCAGTGCCTAAACCAACGGACACGTCATACTCTATCAACCTCCTGACATCGCACAGGCCAGACTGTAGACGCGAATTGGAGGATGGACAATGCGCGATAGATGAACCTTTTTTGGACAACAGTTTTAGTTCGTCATCGGTCAAATGGATACCATGAGCCAAGATCGTCTAGAGAAGTTTACATTAATAAATTTAACAAAATTTTAAACATTGAACATGTTACTTGATTGGTGAGAAGGTTGGCCTCATGATAGACATCCGCATACTCGTTACAAACGAACATCTTTTTAACGGTACAAACTTCATCGCAGTTCTCGGAGATGTGCGTTTGAATGTGACAGTTGTATTTACTTGCAAGAACCGCTAATTTCTTCATCAAATCCAATTCGACGCTGAGCGCAAATCGAGGCGTTATTATCGGTTTCACTAACCGCGACTAAAATGATTAGATAAATTCCATCGAATAAATTTGAGAATCCTCAGTTGGTAATCACCTTTTTATCAAGAACATCGTTTATAAAAGTTTCCGTTTCTGTAATCGATTCTTCAGGTGTTTCCAAATAGTTCTCCGGTGCTAATCTCGTCATATTTATTTTCCCGACCAAAGCTCGTTGTCCGTGTTGAAGCACGGAATCCACCAAAACCATGCAGCTCTTCCTGAATAGCGAGCCGAAATAGCAAGCAGTCGTCGTGCCGTAGCCCAACGTTTTTCTCTAAAATTTTCAACTGGAATCCTTTTTCCAATCAATTTAAACTGTAACTTACAACAATCGCATCGTAGACCTTTTTGGAGAAATCTAAGTCGCTGTACTTGGCTTCTAAATTGTACGTGTACTTCTGTAGCCAATCGAGTAAAGGCAAGTCGTAGCCAAGACCAGCGTTTGGATATTGCGGTGCGTGGATGTGCGTGTCTATGAGACCCGGTATCAGAAGCTGCGTGTCTTTCAAAGTTACTGTTTGCCATTTACTTATTTCCAAATTCTTCTTGGTCTCCTCTAAACGTTCCAACTGGTCTATGGCTACTATCTAAAATACCTGTATAATATAATAAATCGTTATTGAAGTAAGTTCAAGTTGACTCACTTTAGATCCTTTGACAATAATGAATCCGTTTTCCAGAGTCTCGATTGAGAACAGCTTCTCGCAATGTATTATATTACCGGTGAAAATCGTATAAGTATCCTCTGCCATCTTGATTACTTTCGTAGAAAGACTGTAAATGAAATGTCCTTTAATTTAGTTTTAGAACTTACTGATAAGTTATCAAATGGATTTATCTTAAGCGAGTAATGCTATCATGTTATCGCGTTAAGTTAAATTCCTTTACATATTATTTTTCCTAATATTTTTATATATGATTTAAAAAAAATAACATTATTATTAAATATATTTATCATTAAATAAATATTTGAGAAGCTATATCATCTAATGAAATAATTCCCTTTGTTAATTGAATTAAACGATAAATATTTTTAACAGAAAGATAACTATGTATACAATTATGTACACTCCACTTTTACCTACTGTAAAGTTTGACAAGTAACGTTCTTAAAATGTCTGGATATTATTCTGACGGTCAACATATTACACAACCTTTTTTATAACCTAATTTTCTAGTTTGTTATCACACATTATCAATTGAATATTTAAGGGACACGTATTGTACCACCTTTTGAACATGCCTAGTGGGGTATTACTATAATTTTCTAGAAAAAGTATAGAAAAGAGGAATCACCCTTTAATTTGGTTGGTGATGAATTTTGATAGTCCAAACCAATCAATGTTGATTCAGTTGACGAAATTGTCTGATTCAGTTGTCTAGAAATTTAGGAATTTCTGGCGCTTCAAAGAGTTAAAACTATGTCTGCTAACCAAAGTTACGCAACGTTAATTAAAGCCAAACAAGTTTCTATATTGTTGTTTAGAAAATTTAAACGTAAATGTAAATACAGACCTGTTTTATAATTTTTAATCGACGCGTAATTTGTTTGTTTTATATATAAGTAATTTCAATAATGTGTTGGCATTTAAGTTCTACAGTAATTGCAAAAAAAACAAACAAACAAATATTTTAACATATTTCAAGGTAATCTAAGAATAAGTGTGTTCTCAATATTGGTTTAGTTAATATACATACATATTCAAAAATCAAACAAACTCAAAGTTTTTAGTTCTTATGTTTTAAATTAAATAAACAATCATACAATAACATCAAAATATTGTTTTCTTACACAAATATTATAAAAACATATATATTATTTCAGCGTGTTAATTAATACACGAAAGTGAATAAAAAGTAATTGCCGAAACCAGGGATCGAACCAGGGACCTTTAGATCTTCAGTCTAACGCTCTCCCAACTGAGCTATTTCGGCTGATATTAATTTAACTTATATCAATCATTTAACAACCGAACGAGTTATCATAACTTCGTGTTTATAAAATTGAGCTAATTAATGTTACCATCAAATTATTAATTGAATATCTGTAAAACTAATTATAAATAAATAAATAAAAAGTAACTTATTTTTGTTCTTATATTTTCAAAAAAAAAATCAAATAAAAAAAAATAATTGCTGATTATCATATAGTTCATCCTTCATATGATTAACAATTGTAATTAGTTTTTTTTTTTTATCTTCGGAACTTATTGAAACTTATTAAATGCAACATGTAAGAATGAGAAATCTACTCAAGATAAATATTCGTCGTAATCGTTAAATTCTTTAATATATCTCTTAATATATTCTTTATAAAGTTGTCTTGTAATTCAATCAATAAACCATTAGAAATACTTGCTATCACTTTGAATACTAAATAAAAACAGCAATTGACTAAATATGAAAAAAATGCTTCAATCTCCCATTTTACTATACAAAATATTGTTTTGTCTCGTAAAATATTTTTCTATTCTCGTTTACTCTATTATTCTATTGGTTTCCTGTCACATTGTCTTGTCCCAGGGATGGAATTCTGGAATATTGTCTGTCTGTTGTGGAGTCTCAGTTGTAGGAATTAAATAATTCAATTGGTTTTAAACAAGTTTATTATAATGATTTGTACTATTTCCAAGGTTTTGCTGAGACTATGCTCATCTTAGGTTTTTATGAGATTATGCTTGTCCTCAAAGGTTCTGCTGAGACTTTATTAGTCTTTTAATGTTTTACTGAGACTATGCTTGTCCTCGAAGGTTCTGCTGAGACTATGTTTATCTTATCAAGGTTTTACTAAGACTGATTCTAAATACTTATTCTACTTACATAGTTAATTCTTATTAATATGGTGTGGGAGTTGTGATTGGGAGTAGGGCTTTGTATATATTGATGATTAAGCGTTCCCACGGGATTCGGCCTTGGTCGTTTTGTTTATTATAAGACCGGGACAAATTCCTATGCATTTGTTTATATGAAAAAGATGAGTGATTACGATTGTACGTGTAACCATCATTATGTGTTTAAAATAAGGACTTTAATTCTGAGTAAAGGTATAGAAGTATCGATGGGAATGTTTACGCTTAGTTTATATTAAAGTATATCGAACTGGAATCACGGTAGAGATTCATTTATGCTGATGTGTATGTTTATATAATAATACAACTAAGAGACGGCGTGGATATCTCTAGTTCATTACTACACTATATTAATAATAAGAAGTATAATAATAATGGTTGGACACAACAAGATTTCCTCAATTCATATTTCTCATACAAATGTTATCTTCCAAGTCCGACTTTGTTTGTTTAGTACAATTATAGATTGTTGTGTAAAAGAAGGTCACTTCAAGGTATCATAGATACCTGTTTGCAGTTTAATTGAGCATAATAATATCAATTAGCAATAAAATATAATTTTTAGGGCAGAAAAACCCATGGCAATTTTATGCCTTAATAAATATTAGTTTGCTATTAAACATTCGATTTTGTAATAGTATTGTTTGTAAGAAAATTGTTTATTTATTGGACATTGACCACAAGATTCTTCTGCTTTATTTACCGACTGTAAACTCTCACGCGTTTGTTCCAAATTTATAAAAAAAAAGATACGCTCTTACGGTAAATTATGAGAATATCGTGTTTAATTTTCAGCACTTTGTATATTTCTATCAATAACATAACGAGACAATTCTATAAGTGCATCGCATTTTTTTAATGTTTATATATTTTTTTTACATTTATTAAACAATTTCAAATAAAATATTGTATAGAAAATACCAAAAATTATGTTAAAATAGTACATTTAAATCAATCCAATTCATTTAACCTAAATTTGATCAAACTTAACCAACAAATATGATATTCCTAAAAATTAACTATTTGCACAACCAAAAGATAATCAAATATACAAGCAAATATAAATCTCAGGCTTATTGTATGAATTTGTTTACTTGAGTAAACAGTTATAAATATATTATATAGATAAGCTATTGTTGTTTTTGTTAACACAATATTTTTATTGTATAAAAATATTATTCTGTGCATAAATACCTTCTTTTAACAATCTCCTGTTAATCAATTAGTAGTTGCAGTTGTTCAGTCAATTCTTGTAATGCTGCGAATTCGTAATGTTCGTACTTATTAAGTACTTGTACAGCTTTTATGGTGGGGGGTATTAATACATTTATAACTGTTAATGGGAGAAACAAAATAAAAGACTCTTCTTTGTTGTTTTAATAACAAATCAATTTAGATATTATATATAAAAGGTGTAATTTGTAATTTCTCGTGTCACTACCTTCCAGACTTTTGCTGATTCACATTTAAAGTATTTTCTAATTGCTTCTTGGTATCTTTCCTGATATTCTGAACTTGCTTCTTCACATCATTATTCTTATAAACTGGACCGTCCTTGTCGTCCTCAAATAACTTGCTAACTTCTAACAATTTTGTCCTAGGTAAATTACCGTTATTCATGCTTAATATCCTCTTCGCTGTTAAAAGAGGGATTATACCCCAGTTGCTGTCCTTCGTTTCATCCGATTCTAATAGCCATGCCGCATTCCGCACCTCCAGTCTGAACTTCTCCAGTTCCTCGGGACTCACGTTTTTACTCACGTTCAGACCTCTTTCGAGAGGATTCACAATGTAAAGCGCGCTATGTTCCGGCTTCGCGATCGCCATGGATTCATTCAAGCAGATCGCTTTTGAAGAGAAATCGAATTGAGAATAGTACACAAAGAACTGCAGCAGAAGTATTTTCAAAGAATCCGTATTCTCAATTGGATTCGTAGCTAAATATACATTTATGTCCCTGAGAAATGTACAATTTATGCCATCATCTGTTATATACTTGTCATTCTTGCCTGAAATTCATAACAACTTTTAATGATAAGTTGATTAGAGATATAATATAACTGATACCAGCAAGTTTAACTAAAGCATTCAGCGACGGTAGAACCGGTTTCGGTAGATTTTGCAAGAAACCTATCACCAATAATGTTAAAGAGAAATTTGTGATCCATCTCCCAGGAGAAGAATTGGTTAATCCAACTGTTGCCGCCCATCGTCGGATTGTGAAGATCAGAGGTCTTACTCGATGGTCCATTGCACCCATTATATACAAAAAATCGGACATGTGATAACCAGAACTAAAAATTGTATATTTAATATCCAAAGAAGATAACTTTTTAAATAATTCTTACGTGTTCGACATTGATAAATCACATTCGACGTCGGTCAATTGTTGGTAATATTTTATAATAGGAACTCGTGCCTGCAATATCTTCCTAACTTGTGAACATCCAGGCAAAAATAGCTGAAGAATATCTCCTATAACTTCCATATGCCTTTGAGATATCGAACGTTCAGACCCAGAAAGAGCCTTGCAATGGTACACTAGCCTAGTTTCATCTGTAATTACCTTTCAAAGAAATACACTCGATGCCATTTAATATTTGAAATGATATTTACTTTCGACTCATCATTTAATCTAAGAACCAAATCCAAATCACAGCCCATTTTCCCAAATCCATTCACAGAAGATCCAAACGGCAATGCAGCTGAATTTGGAAACATTCCTGAAATAGCCATCTCAATTTGCTTTGCAACAAGAAATCTCAACCTAGTCCCAACCTCATTCAACCTGGTACTGTTGTGCAAATTGACCATTTGCTCATTCACCTTCAACAAAATATTAAGTCAACAATATCAATTAATTAATATAATATGCACTTACATCCGCACATGAATTCAAAACTTGCAACAGTTCATTATCTCTAAGAATATGATTTCCATTCTCCACATTCAATTTATGAATACTCTTGTTCTTGTTTTTAGACAATTTCTTTGTGGCTGCTCTGAACCAAAGATAAGATGATTGAACCGGAACCACTTGGGTGTCTTCGATGTAAGAGCTCATTGTATATATGTTTTGTAAATCGCTGGCTTTGGCAAATTCGACTATTATGAAATGCATAGGTTCCACACCAGTTGAGTAATGCATCATCTTCTTGACAGTCCCAACAGAGCTGCAATACGACTGCAGCTCATGGAAGGAATGTGCAGATTGCACCTGCACAAGAATACTGCGATTCGCCTCATCTCGTCGTTGCTTCACGTTATCATCAAATGATACAACCTTTTGGTTTTCTGCAAGCGCTGAATATCCAATTTGTATACGACAGCAACATGAAAAATATTACTTACGTTGCTGCGACAGTTGCGTCGTCAGATTTTTGTTTAAATTTAAAAGCAAATGCTTTCTGTGGAATATCCTCAGCATTGAATTTTGATAGCATATCGAGTTTTTCAGGGAAAATAATATAGACATGATAACCTGCAAAAATAAATTTGAGGTTATCAAAACCAAAAGGTCTCTACTTTATCGATACCGGGAAAATATGAAATTTAATTTATGTTTAGATACATTCCAAGCTTTTCAAATTAATTATAAGAGTTATAAAACGTTTGTATATATTATTTTTTTTGTAAATCAATTTTTTGTTAAACTTTTAAATTAAATTCAAATCCAGGACGCGTCTGTCAAATACGTTGCCGTGGCGACGAATTTTTGACATGTAAATAATCAAATATTTTAGGTTAAAGTTCAGGGGTAAATTTCAAATGTTATAAAACGTAGAAAAAAAATGATTCCACAAACACCACCAGGCAAGGCAATCCCTCAGGCTAACAGCAATTTCTCTCCTGTTATACGTAAGTTCGATTTGATTGTTTGTAATGTGTATAGATAGTTTAACCTGAAACTTGTTTAGTTCCAAAGAGTCCAGCTGCAGCTTCTCCGCATAAGAATTTGACTGGTTTACCTAGAGTGGCTCGTGATATTGCAGCGGATCTATACAACAATATACAGAAATGGAATGAGCAGCATTTGACTGGATCAAAAGTGGTGCAAAATATTGCAACTGTCAAGGCTGACAGTGAAGTGCTGTATCCTGAGGATTTGGAGGAGCAAATGAAGATGCTATTTGATATAGTTCAAAATCTTTCCATTTACTCGAACGCCTTGGTGTTCCTTTCATCGCAAATGCAGGCCTTAGTGAAATTGCATAAAGAGAAAACGCCATTGTTTATTTCTTTGACTGTGGAACAGTTGGCTGATTTGGTTAAATCAATCTCTGACGCTTACAAAACCGAGTTTGTTGCCAAACAATACATTTTAGAAAACATTGCACATTCAAAGAGCAAACAGGAAATAATGTTCTTCGCTTCCAGCTGGAATTATCAAAGAAATATTACTAACAATATTCATTTGAAACTGGAGACGATACTAACAGAAACTGGTCACAGGAAAATAACGTAATAAATAAATCAATTATATACTGATCAATGTCTCTATTTTTCAAACTTCCCGCTTTGTGTTGCGCATAAATTAGCAATGATGCTGTATTCTTGTATCCATTAGCTGTAACCGAATGTACGCAATGCTTCCATGCGCATCTCTATATTTATATTGTAAATTGTATAAAAATCGATAAATATTTTTCGGGCTCTCCGCATTTGGTACTTTGTCAAGGCCGGAGGAGCTGTGATGGATGTGTAGATGTAGTACGTGAGTGTGTGGTGGAAGCACGTGTCTGCTGCAGATGCGGCGCGGTCGATTAGCCGCAGCATAGCAAACACTTCATTCAGTAGGATGTTTTGATTTTAACGCTTTCGACGTAGTCCCAGACGTAGTTGCTTAGATCTAGTATATGAAAAAAAAGCAATGGCTTCGAATCCTGAAGTCGTACAAAGGCCTAGCGGGAATCCCGACGGAGTTCTGAACATCATCAAGAGGCAGCTGATCAATCTGTTCCCGAAATCAGCTGATTGCTCTTACGTCTCCTGTTACTGGTGAGTCAGTGCGAATCCACAGTGTTTATATTTACGTTCAATCTAATTGTCATGATGACAGAAATACATTAAGGTTTTATGTTAACGCTGTAATATTTTGTAATATGAAAATTCAAACATATCAAACAATATTGTCTGTCAACCAACGTTGCGTTAATTTAACATTTTCATTACTCACATGGAGCTATGAATAATTTACAGATTGTTATGAATATTCAACAGACATTTATGCAACCCGTAATTTACCTTCTACTATACTTACAACATTACATGTTTCTTATTATTCCACTTCAGTTAACTCAATAAGAGTATAACTAAAACTTGAATGAAACGATTTAAATAATAAATACACTTTATAATTTGCCTTACTAAATTGTAACAATAACTCTAATTGATTTTGATATAATAATGATATAATAAATCCTTTTTGCCCTTTAATTAAAATATTTTAATCGTAACGATTATTTATTATAAATTTTATAATATTGTTTCAACTGCTTGATAAGGCGCAAACGCCGACCAACTCATTAAGAGTTCCATTGTAGTTTTAAAATTACTGATCAATACACGAACGACAATTTAATATACAGAATGTAATAAGCTCAAAGTTTCACTAATTAATGAAAAATCTGAGCATTTGATCATTTTATTCACTTAGTTTATATATTTTACAGATGATTAGTAGAAATTGCTACTAGGAGAAAAGTCCTGCATTAATAAATTTATGAATCAGTTTTACTTCACAATTATTAAATTTAATAAACTTGAGTGTACATTATTGTACATGATGAAGTTGCTATAAATAAATAAAAATTATTATAAAATATACCAAAAAAAAAGAAGGAATTTAAATAGTTTTAACAATTCATTTCTTATCATTGGAACAAATATTACAATAAACATATACAACAGTAACCCCTATTTGATGGATATGTTAATTGATTGTACATCTGCAAAAATAGCAAAATAAACCCATTCAAGTACTTTCTACTGAATAATCTATGAGGGCAGTCCCAGAAGTACCCGACCTCACGTATGAATGGCGGTTTTGGTTTGAAAAAAACTACTATGATCAAAAGTATCAATAATGACAGCCATCAATAGTTAACGCTGTCGGTGAATTTGTAAACATGGAAAAAATTGGTCATTATTACGTGATATAATACGTTCATTTAAAAGGTCTTAGTCCAACCAATATCAAAACTTTTGTTTACAACAAAACAATATGGCAAAATAATATTGGATGACCGTCGACCGAAGTTCAAAACTTAAAAAAAATGGCTCGGTGGTAACAATGAAGAGGTTGCTGGTTATTATATAGAGCTCGACGGTTCTCACTATAAACAGGGTATCAAAACTATTGAACATCGCTGGGAACAGTGTCTTGAGCTAAAAGAAGACTATGTTGAGATATAAAGATATATTTTTCCATTTTATTGTGTGTTTTATTTGTTAGGTCGGGTACTTCTGGGACTACCCAGTAGCTTTTATGTCACCCTAAAGGAATTTTGAACAAATATGGAAGCGATAGACTATAAATGCATATAAACTAATAATTATTATTTTAACTAAATAAATTTATATAAAGATGAAAGTGAATCAATTCGCTTAGTTATGTTATATCAGTATATATTATAATGTTGCTAACGTTTATATCGATTTCGTTGTATAAATTAATTGAACAATTTTTCTTTAATAAAATAATTGACTTCCCAAGTGTATTTCTATCATTAATTACTCGTATTATTTTAACCCACATTACTAATTAAATTAGGTGCGAATCGACACACCCATGTGAGTGTGTCCTCCCCGAAAATACGAAACGTGGAAATGGGAAAAAGCGTCGACCAATGAAAAAAAAAACCTCCAATGTATATGTACTCTGTTTCGTTGAATTTTTTTATTTTGTCAAAGCACAAACACACGTTGCAAGTGAATGCAGAAAGTTGGCTGGTAATAAAATATTGATCAGCTCGAAAACAAAATAGTTTGCATGTCTGATTCTTATCGGCTTTACATAATATAAATATATATATATAATATATAAAGTGTGTGAGTGTTTATGACCAGAAGGCATTTCGTATTAATATAATAAAACCGAACGTTACCGACACATTTGGTATCTGCGAAACGGTAGCGTTATTATTTATTACACTTTGCCAGATAGTCAACTGTGTTGTTATTGTTGCTGTCTTAAATAATATAGTTGTTTGTTACGAGACGCGTGTGAATTATTCAATTTAATTAATATCGATCGCAATGAATGCAACCTGTGTGTATAATTTATTTAAATAGTGTATGAGTGTGTGGGGTTCCGTTTCCATTTCTCCTTGGTTGCAATTAGTTGTACCTGTACAGCCTAGGCGCAGATACGTAGCTTACGTTTCCTTCTACTATTTTGCTTTTTCTTTAATAGCAACGTGGCATGCCACTAAGTACTTAATAATTCACAGCCCTCCAGTTCTCTCCCTCTCTTTCCATCCCCCGGCTTAATTTATTATACTTTTTTTCTCCACACTTTATAACAAACCGCTTAACAGTGGAATGCAAATTTCTTTCTCCGTTTACATTTGCACGTTGTTTTCTTTCTGCCATTGTATCAATTCTCCTTCGACCATCAACTTCTCTGGGCTACTACTAGTTCGTTTCATCGCTTCCATTCCATAAAGTGCTTCTTCGGCGATAAAGCGAAAAACAGCAATTATGGAAAAGATGGGCATTTTCTTATTGGAGCGGTAAGACTTTTCTCTGTCACGTCTTTGTTCATGTCCGTCGTAAATCATTTGTATGGATTTATCGCCCATAACGAAACAATGGTATATTCTATCACGTAATCCGATTTAATCTCGACTGCGACAAATCCTGAATGAAATTAATTTTGCTTATCAGCTTTTATTGGCTATTCTACCAACATATTGAAATTACAAGAACAAACTTTTAGCTTTAACGAAAAGTGTTTCATTAAAAATTTAAATATATCCAATTAAAAAAAAACAAACTTAATTAAATATAATTAAGAAACCCAAAACGAAATCTTAGTTGTTTATAAACGTTTATAAATTATGACTTTTTTTAAAATTTAAATTCATCTCTTTCTAGCGAAGAGAACGTCTACAAGTTATGCCAGGACGTTGTCTCTCGTCACTATAGCGAAATCCAGAAATGCTACGCTGTTTTCGTGTCCAATCCGAAAAGGACCGTGCCATTGTGGAGACAACGTGCCGGGAAAGAAGAGGACAAACTCGTAGTATGGGTGAGTGAATCGATTTAATACAAGGATATATCTGTAAGGTTCTAGGACACAAGAAAACTCTTGCACGGAATGAAATAAAAGCAATTTTCATTCAACTATGATTTTAGCTAAATTCTTTTAAAATACAATTATATTACAAATTATTCCTATTATTGCTTTTAATATTATTATTAAGTTGAAAATGACACAGTTCATACTTTTTTTTCACAAAAAAATGGTAATTTTCCTTTTCCAGTTTCATATTGATTTACTATAAAAAAAAAGGCAAATTCTCAAATTGGAAATTATTATTTAATACTATTCATATAACAAATTTTCCAGAGTGGATAATTTTAATATATTTGTTACAATATATTCATTAATAAAAATGTATTGTATATATGAATCTTTATCAAATGTAAATACACTCAATTCAGTAGACACAATAAACTCTCAGTATTTTATTAATATTGCACGGGAACAACAAAAAATACAAATGATTTTATTAAGTGATATCAATTTTCAGATTTAAGGGAATTTATTTATATTATTAATAATTGTATTATTAATACTACAAACCGGGTCGTGAAAATGAAAGAAGAATAATTTAAGTATTTGGCAACTGTTCTCAAAATCCATGACCCACTTATAGGATATAACTTTCGAAATAAAGGGTTGAGCAAATAACGCATACTGTTGAATTGGTTTAAAATATATATATTTTACTGTTTCTATCATAGGTGTTTATGAAACTACTTGACTATAGGCTGAATGTAATCAGATAACCAAGTCACCAATTTTGATTTCGCTGATAACAGTTATTGTCTGTTAAGTTGATAGGATTGTTAATATAATCAAAAACAAAAGAAATATTTCATTTAACAATCGAGATGACACAAGAGGTCTTCGTAACGGATTCAGTACGGACAAAACAACACTTTCAGCTGTAAATTGTATGTTTTAATTTAACAATCCAAAGGATCTGTATTTAATATTTGATAAACACCTACATTTGATCTTCTTACAGTAGAAAATAAAGAATGCTATATTTTTTATAGCTTTTTTACTAGAAATTGAGTTATGACTCAAACTACTTATATGTTAGCGGTGGCCAGACTTTTTGCAGCAATAGCCATAGTTGAAAATATTAGGAGCCGAACCTAAAGTTTTTGGTATAATTTTTTTAAAAAAACCTTTATATCTCCCGATTCACAGTTAGGCCACTTCTCCTAAATATAATACTAGGAATTTTATTATTTCAAATAATAATAATAATATATTTGAATGTTATAATGCTTCGTTTCAGGACTACCACGTGGTATTTTTGTACCAAGCAGAGCCCGATAGATGCTTGGTGTACGATCTGGATTCGGAGCTGCCGTTCCCAACTTATGTCCACAAATACGTTACAGAGACATTCCGTACAGACAATATACTAAAACCGGATTACTTTAGGTAAATAGATGATTCCAACGCTTAATTATAATATTATATAGACAACGATTATTTAATCAACGTTCTTTAATATCTAAGATTATTTACTTACTAACCGAAATAACGTACAAAAATCCGTACGAACGTACACTTATGTCTAATTAATCACTTTTTTAAATATTTAGTTGTTAATATTTTTTCGGCAGAAACTTCTTTATTTTCTTTATTACTAACAAAGTTTTCTAAATCTTGTAATGAAAATGTTGACATGTCATTTCACATGAAATCAGAAAAAGAAACTACTGAATAAAGTGGTTGATAGACGAGGATAAAGTGTACGTACTTTCGCGCGAACGAAGAGTCGTGTATCTATAAGCAAATTGTTAAATATTTAAGTGTTGATAAAGAATGTTGAATTTATCTTGTAGATATTTTCGTGTAATCCCAGCTACAGAATTTTTGAAAGATTTCACCTCGGACAGGAGGCACATGAAGAGAATAGACGGTAGCTGGATAAAGCCTCCACCGAACTATCCAGCGATTTGCAACGCAAGTAAGTTGATCTACTGAACGGATTTGATTATGTTTTACTGTTGCAATTTGTATGTTTTACGTTTCAGCAAGCACACACAATCTGGAAGATTTCATTCAGATGGACGCAACAAAGGGACCAGGACAGGTCCACAATTTGACGCAATTTGTGCAACGATTCTGCAAACCCGCAACTTAGTTTCACGTCGGGGAAAGCGAGACCAGTCCAAGTTTAAAAGTTTCGCATTTGAGCCGTTTGCATACAGTTGCTCCTCGTCAATTTTTCATTGTGCTCTTATATTTAATAAGTAACGAATACTGCAATATATTCGCAGAGCAAATTCGGAATGTTCGTTTGGAATGAAAATTTGCAACACAGAAAAAAAAAATAAAGGAAATTACAAGAAAAAAAATAATGAATATATATCGATACGAAACATTTTCTCTACAATTTATATATAAAAAGACTTTTAAATGTTGTTCTCTATAACTTTACATATATAATAATATCTTACCTCTTTTATAACTTTCCATTCTATCTCTACTGATTCAGTATTTTCATAAATAATTGTAAGTATCTTATATAATGTTTCGAATATGTTTATGCAAAGTGTTATTAAAATAAAATAAAGAAAATATCAAACATACAAATTGCACATCAACAATATATTAAATTACGAATTTCGATTAACTAATACGGCAAGGTAATTTTTGAACTGTTCTATAAATTGTTGGTGAGTTATTGCATAATAATGATCATCTGCATTTACTTCAATTTTGTTGTAATTGAATAAAACGCGTAATAACTTACCAGTGATTGAAATTTGAACAAGAAAAAAATGCATTGAGACTGCACAATTATGCCTTCCAAATTACTCTTTTAAATAATATATATATACAAATTTAACGAATAATAATTATGAAATTGCGTCAATTTTGTATGTACAAGCAAATATTTGTATGGTCCATTGATTATTTGCAGTTTACAGCTTAATCGTTACGAACTTGTTACCTGTTTCTTTTTAGTTTAAGGAATTGCTAATATTTCATTTAAAACATATATTTACACAGTTTGCGGCCTAAGAATGTTGGTAATTATTGATTTTTTCAATGTTTGTTTATTTTTATTGCAATTATAATAAATAAAACGGATTTCATCTGAACTGTGTTTTTCTTCTCAATTGAAAATTAATAATATTTATTCAAACAATTACATAAACAAATAAAAAAATATAACGTATTTATAAAATGATAATGAAGGATTTATTTCATAATAATGTTATTGGTTTGGAAATAATGTGTTTTTAACTAAGCATACAGAATACAGTCATACCTCGTTTAACGAATAAAATGCGAAATTACTTCGTTAAGAGAATTTTTGTTTGCAGAGGTAAAAGATCTTGTTTACTTGCCTACTACGAGTTATCTTGTCCCTTCATTACTTGTCATATTTGTACATCTACTAGGGAACGTAGCGTAACATCTACGTGTAAATATGAATAGATGGCCTCAGGGAAGAAAATAAACAGGTTTGGCTTAAATGAACAGAAAATACAACTATACAAAGTTTATTCAAAAAGAAAAAGTTTATACAAGGAAATACTGTTATTAAATTTTTTAATAATATAACATGATTTAATCAAATTGGCTTTTGGCAATTGGCAAAATGGAAAGTTTTTATCAAACAAAGATTGTTTTTATTAAATGAACAGTCAATTTACATTTACAACATGAAATTACCTTTAAAATATATGTTTATAATTGATTGTCTGTGCTTTTGTCTCTTTCAATTAACAATAAAATGTACGGAGTTATTGAATTTCAGTGTTAAATTCGCTTAATAATAACACTTTTTCGAGAATCAAGATAATTTTTTACTATTAAAAATAAAACGTTTTCAATATCATTTAAGCACTTCGTAAAATGTTTGTTGTTAACATTTTTGACAGGAATTTCTTTAATTCCATCTTAATTTCTTTTGTCATCGTTGTTAACAAGGTTTTCTAAATCTTTCACTCAAAAACCATCAACTTCTTCAATTTAATAAATTTAACATCTTCCGGAATCTATTGATTGAGCCATCTGGATTTATGTTAAATTTTGCTTGAAATTACGGATTTTGTTATATCGAAGCTTCATTATCAGAGGTAAGCATATATACATAACGATAATGGATTAGTCTCGATATTACTGAAAATAAGGTTTATTGTTGAATTACTTTTTTGTTAAGTCTTTGAAGGGTTGGAAATATCTCTGAAAGAGGAATTATCCTTTAATTTGGTTGGTTTGTCATAGGATGAATCTTCATAGTGTTATGTATAACCGTTATTGTTTATGTAATACAAGCAGAGTCCTAAAGAGTCAGTGTTAAAGTCATAGTCCTAGCTAGTCGCTAGTCCAAGTTTGTTTTAGTCTTAGAGGACGAGTCCTAGTTAGACTCATAAAAACCCTAGTAACAAACCTAGCAACTGGAATCTAGACATTGAAGTTATTAATAATTTTATAGTGAATAATAAAGTGTTTATTATCATAAAAACTCCAACTTCACCTCTAGAATTCCATAAAAACTCCACTAGGATTCCACAACGACCTAACAACGAAATATTCCACAGTGTCCAGAGATATTTGAATTCCAGGACACGACAATAGGCCATACTATCCGATGTTGATTCAGTTGACGTAGTTGTCTGATTCAGTTGTCTAGAAATTTAGGAATTTCTTTCCCCTCAAAGAGTTAAGAAGTTAATAAATATAGACGTAATAGAGTCCATGTTTTTACATCATTAAAACCATAAACTCAACTGCCGTTTGATATATTATAAAACACCGACAAATAATTAGCATTATGATAAGAAACAAACTCTGCAAATATAAAAAGCAGGAAAGGGAAAATCTATACAAAATCATTGAATATATGAGTGATTGATATATACGTAAACACTAATCTTATAATCGTTATAAGTACAAACACTTCCATAAACATACAATGTAATGGCACAAAGAGCAAAAGGCTATAAACAAAAATGAAACAACTACATGTATATTGAATTAAAAACAATAAAGAATTTTAAAATGGAAAATGGAATAAACATACAGGAAAGAAACAAAACAATAAAATGTTTTAGTGAAAAGTTCAGTTAAAGTATTCCTAAGAATAATAATAATATTTGGAAACCAATATTAGCTATTCACAATGAATATCCGTAGAATTTACACACAGTGAGGAAGCATGAGACAAATGTTATATATTTTCATCATGAAGGAGAAATAGTTTCTGTATTAGGTTATAGGCAACCAATAGAGCTATCACTAATAATCCATGCATCTGATAATCTAGTATCTGAAACCATGGGTGTGTGCAAAGACGAGATCAATAAACTATAGGAAATAAATATGCAGATTAAATACGAAACAAACATTAAGGTTTTTGTCTGTAGTGAACCAGACAGAAAATCAATAATTTTGGGAAATTTCAGGCAATTCGAATTTGAAAGCTTAATTTACAGGTTTCTGTAGCTGAATTCGAGGCACGTGACTTGCACGGAGTGCGCGCATTGGAGACAAGCACGGACAGCTCATTGCTGGTAGAGGTGGGAGTAAATATGTCAATGGGAGAAACGTTGATGTCAGTGTTGTCAAAAGGTTGAGGTTTAATCACAAAACTATGTGATATGCGATGGAATAAATGATACTAGTGTAAAGTAATCAGTGTGCATTCCGGGAACGTAGAATATGTTTTATGGCTGGTGGTATTCGTGAAAGTTAGATACCTGTAGAGTGCGAAAATGGCTTCTGGTGATAATATTGAAACTATAGAAGTAGACGAGACCTCCTTCACCACCAGCAACGCTAAAGATGTATTAAATAATGAGTCGAACGCTGAGAACGAAGGTAACTATTTCCAATTGGATACCGCCCTTGCGGCCACCCATTTAAAAAAAATACCAATACCACAGTTTATGGATGCAACAAATAATAGGTCAATAATTTGGAGCATCTCCAGTGGGGGATCAAAATTTTTAATCAATCAATCAATTGTATTACATTGTATTCTCTTCTTTCAGATAATCGGATACCCAACATCCAGGGCCTCCTCAAAGTGGGACAAGATGTAAGTTATTGGATATAGATACATTTTTTTTTTAAACAAAACTTTATGCAAAAAAAGTATAGAAAGCCTTATATAACATTATTTGAATCTATCCATTGGTCATTGAGGATAATTGCTTCACCTCCAGGTTTCACTTTGATAGGTAAATTAGCCAAACAATTGCTGCTCATTGAAATGCTATAAATATTATTGTTGCGTTTATATAAATGTAATTGTCCCATGTGAAAATGGAATCTAGCAAAAATAATATTAATTCGTTGCAAGCGAGTTACCTTCTAGGAAACGGTATTAATCACGTTTGCAAGGTCTACAGCCTTCAAAATATCGTAGCGCAAAAAAAAATGTATGAACTATGAAGTAATTCGCAAGATAAATTATGATGCATTATTTTTGAAATCTGATGATTGTATTAATTGGGGTGACGACCTCCATGGATTTTGGGGTGCATCTACTTTGGGCGTATTACAGTCAAGTCGTATATTTAAAATAAAATATTCTCTCTCTGTAATATTACAAATATTTACTAGCATTCCATTTAGAGATAATATATAAATCATTGATAACAAAAACAAATTGCCAGCCACGCGCTTTTAGAAACACTCATTAATCATCTTTATAGTTTTTTTTTTTATAAGCATTTAAATAGTGTATCTCCAAATTAGAATCGCAGTTTTTCATTGTGGTTTTGCGCTCCAGTTGTTATTTCTACCGTTTTTTTGTTGTTGTTGTTACATTGAATTGAATATATTGAGACTACACTTTTCTTGATTATAATTTCTTCGACAATATCGATATACATATCCATAGTCATTGCGGGGAAAGTTTTGATCATCATCCGTGGCCTGAAAACCTTAAGAAACGAACATCACTTCATCCTACATTTCTTTATTTTTATGTCCCACTACAAAAAGTACTCTTTTTTTTTATAAATATTTTTCTCCATGCTTTCATAAACAAAAAACCGCAAATTGTGGTTAACTTCCATCCGCAGATTAAGACATTACACTAAATAAACTTTTAATCATGATAAGTGAATGCATTAATTCAACAAATTATCTATTTTTCTTACATTCATATTTAATTTTTTTTTAATTTTAGTCAACAAATTATACTTTTCATAAATTTATTTTTGCGTTATTATATTCATTTTAAAATTTTACTTGTATATTTTATATCATTGCATTATTTGTACATCAAAATATACGATTAAAATACATAATGCTTGTTATAAATAGAAATTGACACGATACGAGTATTCGCCAATTTTCAAATAATTGCAAGGTTATTTAATTGAAAAACATCAAAAATTTATTAACGTGAGGCTTTGTTTCTTTCGTATTTCAATTTTATGCCTTGAATAACAGGCGAAATGGGTTATGCTACAATCAGTTATCTTACGGAAATTAGTATTTCTGGTTCAGTTGTTTTCCTCTTTCATTTGTATTTATGATTATATAACTTGAAATGGAACCATCCGCCCATTCCGCAGCGGCAAATCATTGTGTCCCACTTACAATGCTAACGATTTTCATCCCGAAATCCTCGAAAAGTATGTCTTATTTGGTATAGTTGATGTGCAGAAGCAAATGGCTCTTTTGGCTGTTTTCCAAGACTTCCTATAATATTTGTGTATAGCTTTCTCAGTTCCAATCGTATTCTGTGGAATCGTGATAGGTTTATTTTTTCGTTTGAATTTGATTCAATATATATGTAGTGTTTACATCTTTAACAAATGCAAATGTATGCGATGAGTTAACTTATTCTTAACAATCATATTGAATGTTTCAAAATATATTTCTTTTCAGCAGTTTGTTAATATGCAAGATATAATTAAAATGAGTGTGGTCATGTTTCTATGAATGAAATGTGTCCATTTTATTGATTGAGAGTAATTTCTCGACTAGGTAATTTTTTGTTGTTGTGAAAGGTGGGTGTTATGAGCGTCGCATCGGACAGTTATCTAATTAAAATCGATTCCTTGTTTTGCAATTTTTGCTGGATGCTCAAATGTGGGCGAAAGTGCTCGGCCTCGGTGTAAAAGTGACGGTGATGATCAACTTTCAAATGAGCTGCCTTCACGCTACGTATGACTCAATGTTTGCATTTCTGGATCATTCTTCAGAGGAAACCTGTTTCGATGATGCCAATATAACCAGGAAGACATGAGCGACCTGAAATTTCCGCCGGTTTGCATCAGCAGCAGCAGTAGCGCCTTTGGTGCGTGGGAACGGGATGCAACATGCTAATAACAGAAACACCACTATTATTAGACTTTTGTGCGTTATGTCACCTATTGTCTCTGCAGTGCAGATTGTAATACAATAGCAATCTTGGGAATGCGTTCGCTAAAGGAAAGGAAAATTGCGAGGACGGGTTGTAAATGCGATTCTCTCGACGTGCAGCAGTTCCCTTGTCTCAGTGTTACCAACCGTGTGTTGAAAATAAACCAAAGTTCGCTCGGTACAAAGGCGCGTCGAATTTCCACTTCCTCCTGTGTCGGCGCGCCAGCGGAAAACATCAATGAATTTACTTTACATAAGCGGCTCCTTTTTTTTCTGGTTTTTGTTTAGATTTCATTTCGAAATGCATTCAAATTCAATGACGATCCTCGCAATGAAACACACGATTAACTATATATAGTTTCAATACACTAATGACATTGAGTACTATTGAAGCTACATATTTCGAAATATGCATGTTTATAATAAACAACAATTTCCTTAAAAATTAAGCACGTAGTGAAATTTGTTTGTATTCATTCCATTATAAATAGCAGCATATATCTTAACTATGAATAACATTAATTAGTTTACGTTTTATTTGCAAGTGTGAACTAGTTACAATTGTTATTGTAGTTACAAATAATGAATCATCAAACAGACTTAAAAGTAGTTATTATTATCAATTCCAAATTAGCAATGCCATTGACGATGTGCAAAGAATTATGAAATTATTTCTAATAGTCGTCACATAACTTTTATTTAGTTACTAATAATGAACCATTAAATTCGATGAAATTATTATAACATTCTTTTTATCTCAAAAAAAACGTCTTTTAAAAAATAATTTGTAAAAAATTTAGAATCAATCGAGAAAATTCTCAAAAAGAAAGTAATTAGTGACTGATCCTATTTCATAATTACTAGAATATTTTAATAGTAATCATTATTGCAGTACAAAATAAATGTAGATTATAAAACAAATCAATTCAGAATAAATACATCTGACCAAAGGTTTATCGACCTTGATTTTTCCATCCATTGTTTTAAATTTAAAGTAATTGTTATTACAATTGAACAAACACTTGCCTTCTCAACTATGTTTCACGCATATATTCGCTACTTCGTTTAATATTTTGAAATAAAATTTTGTAGGTTTTAGTACTCGAGATGTTTTTGTATTTAATTTTCATCTATTATGAAAAATATTCAAAGAGCTATGTTACTCTACGTGCATATAATCATTTTCTCTCTTAAAAAGTTATTTAATTTTGAAAGTCGGCCTGTTGTGAACGTAACTTTTGTTATTACGGAAGAGTTTTCTGTTTTTGTTTTTTCTAAAATTAGTTTCGGAATTATATAAATAACCTAACCTGACAGAAATAGACGATCTTACCAAACTAACGTGCTGTGAATGAAACTTTCATATTGATTTCTGTTTAAACTGATTGTTAATTTTTTTCTAAAAAAATTGTTTTTAAGATATAAATAACATCAGGATTTGACAGAAATACACGATCTGGTCAAAGTAACGAACAAATATTCTTTGAAACGTACTTGATCTTAGTCCGCGGTAGTCAACGAATCTTTCAAATTTGTTATTTTGAACATAAATCAAGACAGATTGAACCGTTATCTGTTTATGTTTTATTTTTCTTCTAAATATGTTCTGGATTTATAAATAACATCAGAATTCGACTGAAATGAAATTGAAACACGTATTCCGTTTTAAACTTTACTAAAGGAATTGGCAACACTTAATACGGCAAAATGTATGTTCATGCGAACGTAATGTACGTTCTTGCGAACAATACGCTTAGTGTACGTTATCTCAGCGCTGACTGTACATGCCATTTTGACGACCTGACAATATAAATATTGTCAATATTTACGTTTTTTTACGATCTAACAATATGAATCATGTCAGGGCGGTAAAATATTCAAATGAGAATTTTACATTCTTAATTCTTCTACAACCCAATTTATTCTAGATATTGAAGACAATTGTTAACTAACATTATTTTATCCATCTTATTATTGTTTTTTTAATTACTCGACACGCATCGGTATTTCGTATTGTTTTTGTTTTCTTCATGTCTAGAAACGTACATGCAGGAACGGCGAAAACGGTTACGCATGCCTCGGACAATTGGTGATATAAAAGTTTCGTAAATGGGGCTCGGTCACGGAAAACTATTTAGAAATTGTTGCTGCTGGTGGCATCGTTATTGCCGTACTTATTCGCTCCGGTTTAATACATGACGTCCGCTTTTCCGAGACCGGCCATTAAATAATTAGCTTTGGATTAAATTCAGAATTTAGAATTAGAAAATAGATCGGACGTGTTTCGTTTCAGATCCGTTTATTTTCTTATGTTTGCGAACGTTGATGTGCAGAGACCTTAATACCAAACTCTGTTGGACTCTGAGAGCAAACATTACTATCATATTCAGTAACATTTTCAGTGATTCACGCAGATTAATTAAACCGTAGCGACTAGTGGAGCCTCGCTTAACTAGTTTAATCCGATCCAATATTTTCGGATTTCTACTCGTATTTAAAAATTTAAAGTTTAAAGTTTTAAAAATGATGTAGAAGGCGTGCAATGTCACTCGTTATGCGAAACGTCGCTCGTTAAGCGAGAAATTTTTCTTACAAATCATTTTGTTCGTTATGCGAGGTTCCACTGCAAAGGGCTATTGACCATAGGTCTCTCTGTCCTTGTTTTAATAATATTCAATAATAATTGAATGGTTGAGACATTACCATAACTCAGCTATGAAAAAGTAAATCTTAACGGTAATGATTATAATTGTTTAATTAAGCCTTTAACTAATGAAATATATTCACAAAACTGTCTGTATTGATGTATATTGCGAGCTACATACATTTGAAAATTTCTTAAATATTATCATCAAAAGAAATTTTAGAAAAATAAAAAACTAAATTGGATTTATGAATAATTTGAACATTTATTCTTGTGCGATAAATTTTATAATACTCCTTTATACAAAGTCCTATTTTATACTCGGGAGACCAAGTTGTAACCTATTTTCTTTTCTTTTTTTTCACCTCGAGCAATATTTGAGCATACGTGGCAAATTCTTTGACTTTTTTTTTGTCTACTTTCAGTAGATGGAATATTAACTGGTGAATGTCTTTCCATGAAATTTACTGCAGCTAAACGATCAATGGTTTCCATACTTTGTCTAGCTACAGAGTACCATGTTTTTGTAAAATTTGTCTCATAACATTCTCAAACACGTTATAAAAGATGATAAAATAATCATAAAATATATGTATGTGCATTATGTAATCATAATTAAGTTCCGAGATAACAAATCTTATAATAATATATAGCAGAGGTGGCCAGACTTTTTTCAACAAGAGCCGCACCTTTTTGGTATAATAATTTTAAAAAAAAATCTCAATCATAATATAAAATATATATAATATTTGTGTTTTGTTATGGCTCAACTAGCCACAACAAGACTCTTGAATAGCAGCAATTTGGCTCAAAACTGTTCTCCGAATTTAATTGTAAATTCATAAAATGACTAAAGTAGTTTCTTTAATTCAATAATTAACGATCTTTGTTCGTTGACATGTGTGCTTGCTAAGGTGCAATGGCAATTACGCCATGCGCGGTTATTAATAGCCGATAATGCATTTCACATTTAATTAAATATGCTCATGGATCAATACTAAAATTTCCCGTTCTCCTTGAACGTCATTTGAAAAATAAACGTAGTTCGCATTTTGGCAGATCCTAATAATAATATTATTGTAAAATGTTCGATTTCAAAGTATTTCACGGATTAAGTACGTCAATTGAATATTAAACATAACTGATTGAATCTGTGCATTTTTTTTGTCAATTATGAACTATTGATTGATGAATTAAAAGTTTGTTATAGTTACAAATATGTGATGAGTATGTTTAAGATGTGACGAATTTTAATAATTTTTTTGCAAATTTAAGGAGCGATAATTATAAAATATTTATTGAAACAGTCATACATAACAATAAACTACTTAATTTAAAAATAATTAACTGTGACAAAAAGGCTGCCAAAAATATACTAAATAATACAATGTTTGTTCTTTTGATGTCCTGAAGCATTATTTCATGGTCAGACGATTGGTTCTTTTTAACACACTTAAGATATATGAAGTGGATGTCGTCAGGATCAAACAGCTAGTGATTGTCGCGAACATTTCGATATAATACTATTTTGTGAATATTTTTTTCTGGGCTTTTTTAATTAACTAAAATGATCAGAAAACAGGTTCTAAATTTCTGTATTATAACTGTTTTTAGAGATCTTGGAAAAATACATAAAATACATAATACAAACAAGAAGGTAAAGAACTACATCAATTTCAAGACAAACTAAATTTTAATTAAGAAACAATTAATTAAATTATAAAGAATTAATACATAAAATTATTTGTATATTTAAATTCTTGTTTTTTTCTTTCTTCTTTCTTTATACAGTTAAGTCTCGTTTTGACCGGTAGAAGCTAATATGTTTTAGCTCTAAAACTACTTTATAATAATATAAAAAAAAATATTAAAATAGGTGAAAATAGTCACTTATCAAATATGAAAGTTTTTAAATAATATAAAATGATACAATACGAAAAGAACGATATTCTATTTTAGAGTAAATTAAATAATTATAGGATTATGTTATCATTAAATACAGGTATCCACCGACTTACGAAATGGTTCCATTCCAAAGGGTTGTTCGTAAGTCGGGGGAATTTTAAAGATTTCAAAATGTACTTATCTTACCACACTTTATCATGGTTTTTACTTTTATAAAAGTTAAATTCCGTATTAGTGAATGCATAAAATTGTGTAAATAGATTAAAATAAACGAAATACTTACTAACAAATACAAATGCAACAAGACAGATATCCAATCCATCTACCAAAAATATTATACAGGTAAACGTCGTTTTACGCCGATTTACAATAACACCGCTGCGAAATAACGCTTATTAATTGCCGATTTTACACTTATATAGAACTAAATCCTATAGTCATCTCACTGTAAATAATGATAAATAATAAGGCTTTTGTAGGAACGGAACTGTGCCGTAAAACGATGGGTACCTCTATTTTATTAAAGAAATTATCAATTTTTGTTTGGACAGTTAATTTTTTTACCTGTATAAGGCAATAGTTTAGTATTGTTCAAGACAAAAATTAATTAAATTGGTATTTTCATTCTACTTCGTAAATAACGAATAGCAACGAAATCGTTATTCCTCTTCTATTTTTATTCGATTTTCTAAAAATAAGATCATTGGAAATTTGTTACTTCACATGCAACATCGTCTCGCATCTGATATTTCATTATTCTTAATATACGCGATGAAAGTGGAACGACTTCGCTGCTTCTTTCCCGATATTCATCGTGTGAATGAAAAAAAATAGAAGGAAATCGGAAGAATTTGTATAAATCAAACGGCGTTTTTTTTTAGTTTCGTGCGTCTCAGAGAAATCATGCAAATTTTGATGTGATGTGATCAAGCATGATATAAATACTGTATAAAAAAACGAGCAATTATGTATATTAAATAGTTTTCATAAATTATTTATTATAATTATTTTATTTACGTCGAATTTTTACGTAAATAAAATTATTATATTACAAAAGTCACACATTAAAAATTTGATTTTTTAATAAATTTATTATTTACAATCTGCTAATGAGTAAATATTTTTAACAATGGAACGAAATATAACAATAATTTGCATTTGGAAACCTTCCAATTTTAACAATAATAATAAATAACTAAACATTTTATTCAATTTTTTAAATCTGCTTTCACTATTGTTTAGTAAGTTTATTGCTACAGTATTATTAATAATAGCAATACTTTTCTTGATAAAAATATTAATATAATTTTAGTAAGATTCATTTCCATTGCCATTTCCTGAACAAAATAACTTCGATTAGTCACTAATACTAGATCATCGGGCAACGATCTTTCAACCTTCATATTAATATTATAATTGCGGTGTTGAAAGAGTTTTGTATATAAATTGATACTTTCGTGTATGTTGGGAGTTGTGTATTTGTCTTATTACATTTTAGCATTTACAATAATTTCCAATTAAATGTCTACTATCGACGGGGAATTGTATCCTGCGGGCTTAGTTATTAGTCTTAATCAATCTAATTATGACTGTTGCTGAATAATTGATTCACTCAATTAGTAGTCCACACGTATTATTTTCCCATTAACTGATTGGTGACATTGTTTATAAATCACAACTTTACAAGGCTTCAGAATTTGTTGAAATGCAGATTTGTAATATTTAATTATTAATTCTAGATACCTCTAATTCATTTACATTATACAAACTAAATTTTAATTGAGCAAAATAAATCCTAAAAAATGAGTACACAAAATTATTTGCTTATACATAAATGATCATTTTCTTTTCTCCTTTATACAGTCAAATCTTTTTTTATATATTGTTTTAGAATCCTCGATTTGTCCGGTTTCAAATAATTCGCTATATTGACAGATTATCCGGACTATGCGAGATATAAAATGTGCTGAAATATTACAGAATTGTACTTTTTAGTATAATTATAAATCAAGAAAAAAACGTTCGTTACAGATTTAGGAAATGATTTGAATAAGTTTTTTGTTTTTGTTTTAATAGATTATTGAGTTCAAATGTAAAATACGCCTGCTTGATTACATAAACGCCTCTAAATGCAGTTAATGATAAATTCTTTACTTTTTCAATTTCATTTTATGAACATGTTTTTCAACTCGTAATAAGTTGAATACAAATCGTACCTGTCTGTGAACCAATATTCCTTCATTTTGATAAAATTTATAAATATATAACTTTTACAATTATGTAATTAAGATTATAAGATTATAGATTTAAGTCCATTATAATTATATTGTTATAATTATGTAATGTTTTTCTTTCTTTTTGTTTAGGGTATGCAGAATATTCCAAAAACTCCAACGACCACGATGCCGAGAACGAAGGCAGAACGCGAGAGGGATCGAGAGAGGAAGATCGGCCATCGGCGAGTTGGTGTCGGTGGCGAAATCACTTACAAGAAGATCCAAACCACTCAAATCATGGGCTCCATTCAACTCGGTACGAACATCTATCTATATTATTTATTTTCCTCAGATTCTCTGTGTGTATACAGTTAGATTCCGCTTAATCGGGACTAGTACATTTTGTCCCGATTAAGCGACTGGCCCAATTATCAGAAGTTTCACTAAAATTACAGGATTAATATTTTTCAATATTTTATTTAATACATTGCACAAAACAAAACAAGTCACAAAACTATATGTATACATATTAAAAAAACGTGTACGTACTACATAATTGAAAATGATATAAATTCTGGAACAATAAATATGTATGTGTGTATCATCCATGGATGTACTGTATGTGCATACACAATTACTGTCCAGATTAAACGGAATATTGTCCCTAAAAAGCGGAGAAAATGTGTGCTATTTCCTTAGTGTTTTTTTCGGTATTTAGGACAGTGTCCCAATTAGGCGGAATCGACTGTACTTTCAACAAACGTAATGCATTATAAGTAAATACGTATGTTACAAATATTGGTTTCATTTTAATAAATTAAATAATTTGAGCATATTTGCAAAAACTTGGACACAAGAAACCAAATTAGTAATTTAAAAAAATCTAAACGGATTAAAAACTATAATATTGTGTACTTTAATTTTCATTGCTTGGACAGTTAAGAAACATATAGAATAGGTCGAATAATGATGATAAAATACAAGTTTTAAAGTAGCAAATATTGAATAATAAACTTTGTAATAATACATACGACTAATTAGGAGTGATGAACTCAAAAAATATTAATAACGAATTAATGCAATGGATCGCAAAGTGATGTGTAAAGTAATCATATAAGAAAAACAATTTAAATTTTACTTTTATGTTAGAACAACATTATTATTGTTGTTAATTATTGTTAATTGTTTTTCTCGCTTTTTGTTTAATTATTGGTCAGTGCCAAAGATAAGGTTGATGACGTGAGCAAATTAACATTTATACCAAATGACAATGCAAAATTGTAATTGCAAAAGTAAAACCAGAGACAACTCGCAGAGATATAGCCAATAAAGAAATCGATGCGACCGAGGAAACCAAAGTTGTATGCAAATGGGACCCTAATATAGCCGAAAATCGATACTTTCCACCGGATATCTTCCATATGGATGACGGAACACGCCGATTGTAAACATTTTTAATGCTACAAACGAAAGTTAATATTGAGTACGTCAACAATGATTCTTTAGAGTTGCGTTTCTCAACCTTTTAGTTAGCTACAAACTAATGTTAACATGACAATGTATTTCACCAGTTCGTTGCTTTGACACAAGGTGATTTCGCGACTCATTAAAATTTCAGTTCTCGTGATTCATAGGTTGAGAAACGCCGCTTTAGAGAACATATTTCGAAAGTATGAATATCCCGTGTTTATATATTGTAGCAGTGTTGCTAAATTTGGAATGTTTACGTTGAAATTTATGTATCATAGCTTATTTTTATAAATAATTATATGAATCTTATAATCTCTTCCCGCTCGAAGAACCATATTTTATACAATTTAATGAAATCTGTTGATACTTCATATTTAGTGTGTTTTAACCAACATGTATTAATAAGTTTACAAAAATACTAATTTATAGATTTGTTAATGAGTCTAATTAGATAACTTGGACTGTACAGGTAATTGAATTATGATGATGATTATTTTTTATGTAACAATGGAGTATTCTTTGGGTTTCGTGTTATCTTATCGTCGGAGTCTTCTCGTTCCGAACAAACATAGATGAGGCGCAAATGTGTAAATGAAGTTTCATTAGCGGGCGGATCGTCACCTGCTAAATGGCTCACGATCTTCGTTATTATTATTAAAACACGCGAAAGTTCTGTCGTTTTTTTATTATTTATCGACTGTGCAATGTGGGTTTGATGAGTTGTTGCCATCCTTTATTTAATTTAGTGCAATGTCGTGCTCGTCGATAAACTCATTCAACTCGTATTTCCATTATAAAATGCAAATAGGTTTGTCTAAAATTTTTATACATTTTTTTTTATCGGAAAATATAGTTTCCAATTTTTGTGTCCTTACATAAAAGTCCATGCACATTCAAAGTTTTTCAGGTATTATTAACACACAAGATATAGTTTTATCATAATTTATGACAAATTTGAATAACAATTGTTGTATTTCAATTTTGATATAAACATTATTGAAGATCTGATACATATTTCTGGTATTATAAAACCTACATAAGAAATTTATAATTGAAAAAATAACATTTTTACACTAATAAACTGTGTATAAGTAAACTTGTTGCTTTTACTTAAAATTCATTATTTATTCTGTTTGAAGACAATACTGAAAATTGAATATACACATGTTGTGCAGAATTATTTTAAATTAGAATGTCAAAAGTTAGTTATGAAATACAAATTTCGATTTTTTATATTAATTTGATTACATTATGTTATGACTGTGTTTACAGGAATCCAACATGCTGTCGGTGGTTTGGCTTCAAAGCCGGAACGCGATCTTCTGATGCAGGATTTCATGACCGTGGAAACTACGAACTTTCCGACAGACGGTTCGAACCACACCCCGGCCCACCACTACTCCGAGTTCAAGTTCAAGAACTACGCCCCGATTGCGTTTAGATATTTCAGGGATCTTTTCGGCATCCAACCCGATGACTTTCTGGTATGTGGTCGGAAAAAGGCCGGACCCGACAGGAACAAAACAAAATAATGATAGCGTATGATTCTTTAACAGATGTCCATGTGCAGTTCGCCGCTGCGGGAGCTGTCGAATCCCGGTGCTAGCGGATCAATCTTCTACCTCACCGACGACGACGAGTTCATCATCAAAACAGTTCAACACAAAGAAGGAGAGTTTTTGCAAAAGCTCTTGGCTGGTTAGTTGATACACAGTTATTTAGGCGTCACTCTTTTTGTTTGCTTGATTTTGCAGGTTATTACATGAATTTAAATCAAAATCCTAGGACATTATTGCCAAAATTCTTTGGATTGTATTGTTATCAATGTAATAGTAAAAACGTAAGACTGGTTGTTATGAACAATCTGTTGCCCAGTTTCGTCACTTTGCATATGAAATACGATCTGAAGGGGAGTACGTACAAGCGAAAGGTAAAATTCTGTTTTATTTATTTCATTATTAAAGCAATTTGATTTTCTTATTATTCTTCTAGGCTTCCAAAGCTGAAAGGCAGAAGCGTTCGCCTACGTACAAAGATTTAGATTTCATGGAGCACCATCCGGATGGCATTCTGATGGAAGCGGACACGTACTCCGCATTGGTAAAGACCATCCAACGGGATTGCCGTGTGCTGGAGAGCTTCAAGATCATGGATTACAGCTTGCTCGTCGGCGTGCATAATCTGGACCAAGCCCAGAAGGAGAAAGCCGTGAGTGCGGATCGGCGAAATTCAGGTTCCGATAAATCATGTTTCCTTTTTTTTTCTTCTATGTTACGTGCAGGAGAAAAGGTCTCAGGATAATCTGGACGAAGTGCCGGAGGAGGATGGCGATGCCGGAAGTGATCCGAACTCCGCCATCTTGCATAATGAGAGGGAGCGCGAGCGGGAGGACAGGATCGGGGCGGCTGCCCTGAACCGAAGCAGATCGATCAACAGGCAAAGGCTTGTCGCCCATTCCACGGCGATGGAAAGTATACAGGCCGAATCCGAGCCCATCGACGAGGAAGACGATGTGCCGTAAGTTCAATTAAACCTCAATTCTTCAAGCTCAATTACCGTTAAATCATTTAACGTGAATTTATTTTATATAATTCAAATTCATTTATAATACGTGTTTTAAATTGCAATAAATAACAGAATTTTTCAAATATATAATCGAAATAAAAGTCACTCTTTTTAACAGTCTGCACAAAATAGTATTTTTATTTGACTAAATGTTTTGTGTACAATTCAGACACGGCGGAATTCCGGCGCGCAATTCCAAAGGAGAGCGACTTCTTCTCTACATCGGCATCATCGATATCTTGCAGAGCTACAGGTTGAGAAAAAAACTGGAGCATTCGTGGAAATCGCTCATACATGATGGCGTAAGTAGCAAATAAACTCAGAATCGACTATCGAACATTCACCTGGATCACCATCATATTTTTAGGATACTGTCTCTGTGCACCGGCCAAGCTTTTACGCTCAACGGTTCCAGACTTTCATGGCCGATAAGGTGTTCAAGAAGATTACATCACGTAAGTCATTCCAATATTTTGTGAAATGTTACTTTCTACACACATACACTTTTCGTTTCTATATTTGTGTTTAATCCAGAATTTCACCCCAAGTTTTTAATATAAATAGATAAAAAAAAAACGATATTATACATACAGATTTGTGGATTGTTAAGGTTGTATGTTTTGCTGGGATTATGTGTATATTACAAATATATGTGTAGTTTTCCTGTTTCTTATCTATTTGTCTGTACGTACACATCAATTAGTAAGATCAATGTGTTATATGTTTGCTGAAAACGTCCTTTCAGTATCATTTTTAATATTCAATTTGTCGTACAAAAAAAAAAGGTGAAACCAGTTATCTTGTGTCTACAATTATCTTATTTATTTATTTAACTTATTTTATGTTTGGTTTAACGCTAAAATATCAATCTAGTTTTACAAGCTGTTAATTAATCAATATCGTTTAAAGAAACAAATTTGTTGCTTACAATTATCTTATTACAAGTCATACTTGTTACTAACAATACACGATTGTTAACGTAACATTAATAATATTTTATAATAAGAAAAGTTGAACCATAAAATTACGTACATAATTTATATTACAAACGAAAAGAACATAATTCCTCAACTTGAAGAAACAATATCTTTAAAATCTTTTAAAAAAAAAACATTAGTTATTTACTAATTTGGACTAAATATTGAATTATTGTTCAATTGCTATTCAATATAAGTAAATAATTTAATCATTCAGTAACAATTCCGTAATTTGTTGCTATAATGATATTGAATAATTAATCACTGAGCTAATTACAAAATATATTTGTTTGATTTTTGAATCTTTTTTTTATTAATTGATCCGTAGTTTAACGAATTTTGATGTATGTTTTGTGTTTAATTTACACTTTCACTTGATACATTTATTTTTCGTTGTTTTTTTATTTTTGGGGCTCTCTGATCTCTATCTCTGTGTGTGTTTCAAAATGCTTCATGTAGTGGATTTGCCCGAAGTTAAAGGCAACCATCGCAAATTCCGCACATTGGTTACAAGCTACATAGGTAACGTCCCGATTACAAAATCAAAAATCACTAATATTTATTTATATATTTACATATTTGTTTTTTTTTTTTAGCTTTACTAAGAAAGTTTGAGTTTTAGTAAACTTTTTAATTTTGGTGTTAATATTCTGTTTCTTGTGTTTGATTGTTTTTTCTTTTTGTCATTTTTGTTTTAAGTTTTTTTTTCGTTTTATATTTATTGATTGGATGCTGTTTTATATTTAGTTTGTTTGTTTGTTTTTTTTACTTTTCTTTTGCCGCTGAGCGTACTTCGAGGTACTTAGGATCTCGTCTTACGTTGTTGTCACGCAATTCTTCAACATATTAACAAATTAACGATCTAGAAAGTTTGCTTACTAAAGTTACGTTTTCTTTCATTTTATTTCTTTCATTTCATTCCGTTTGTATTCTCTTTTGTTCGAATTTATTACTTTGTTTTTTTTATTATTAACTCAATCAATCGAAAGCTTGCCAAATTATTTTCGGATAGAATCTAACAGCACCTCTGAGAGTTAACAATTAAACAAGGTACCGTTTGACTGTGCTCTATCTATCTCTCTCTCTTTCTCTCTTCTTACTCTTCATCTATATCTATCTTTCTCACATGTTTTTTGTTATATGTTGGACAGAGTTTTGTTTGTTGATGTTTGTTTGGTGTTCGTTTAATTTTTTTTATTTAATTCTACCTTGATTTTCATAATCTTACTAAATGAATTAATAGAAACTAGCTTGATGGCAATGTCACTTCCACATTCAAGAGATTCAGAATTGCAACGAAATGGAAGTAATATTGCTTTTAGAATTTATTTTTTTTTTAGCTTTATTTCTACATGATTTTCGTTTTTTTTTTTAATTCTCTAAATAGACGCCTTCGCAGCAAGGAATAATCTTTGCAAATGTTTGTTTTATTGTTTCAGCACTAAAGCATTCGCCGTCAAAGAGAAAATCTCTTTCCAGGCCATTCAGGGCTTTGGAAGAAATGGACAACAACAGTAAGTGCATTTTCATTAAACACTCACATTTCCTATTTGCTTTTCGAAATTTTGATCATTTAGGATTCATTTATTTTTGTTTTTTTTTTTCACCGACTAATTTTATTTTACTTTTATGCTAATATACATTTCTTGTGTTGGTATTGGACTAGCTTCTACGCAAGTATTCAGTAGTCAACAGAATGGAAGCAAAACTGGTGAGTTTCAATCCATCAATTCAATACCGGATGTTCTTGGATTGGCGAAAGAGAAAAATATCGCTGCTATGCTTTTGAGTATTGTATTTCAATTCGTTCCGTTCTTGGGGCCTTTTATATATATTTCTTTTTTCATGTTTTTCCAAAATTTCTTTTTGTATATACTGATGTTTTATTCACCGGCTATTCTTGCTTTCGATTGTTTGATTTCAATTACGGAAAATTTTGGACCAAAAACGAATATTATTTTTTATAAATATTTATAAAAAAAAAAGAGTCTGATTTTTCATACACTCGGTCTTCGATTCCAAGTTGAAATGCTTTCAGAGTAATGAATTGCATTAAGTCTTTGTGTGGGCGTTTTTTTTTTGTGTCAGGTGTGTGAGTTTGTTTGAAATGTTGTGATTGATTATGTTCATGTTCTGTATACAATTTTTTTCTCTATTTTCTGCAGCAAGTCCCACTGAGACATTACCATTGAAACTGTCACCGCCCCCGAACCAAACCCCAACTGTTGTCCCATCCGCAACAATCACCTCTCCTCCTGCCGCCTATCCAGCCGTCTTGGTTGGCAGGCATACGGCAGAGAGCAAACCCAAAATCCCGCCCCCAGTTCCACCTAGGGGCACACCGAAAATCAAACGGGGCGGCATAAATGGCAAAGGTGCGCAGCAGCATGACCTTGTGCATGAGTTTAGTAGCGCGTTTAGTCAGCTTGCGCATGATAATAAAAGACCAGCTGGTTGCGATAGACGTAAGAGCTGCCCAGATACATACATCTATGGTACCATGAAGCAAGCCAAGTTAGCTTCCAGCTTTAACGCAAGGCAGAGACTGCCCAGAAAGTCCGTTTGTGAGGCAATGATCAGCTATAGTGATACCCCAACGCACGAGAGATTTGCAAAACGCTTGCACGTCCCCATGCCTTCCATCCAAATCCACAGTTCGCCAAACAAAAACTCTCCGAAAATCTTGAAATCGCGAGACCTCAAAATTTACTCGCCTCGAAGCAATTTCATCAAACAGCTCAACTCGCCACTATCTTTTCGAACATTCAAATCCAAGTCGAAAACGCCAACGTCCAATCTGAAGCGATCCCAAAATTTCGATAACTTAAGCTATGCAGAGTGCTTCCCCAAAGACCAGACCTATCCTTATACTGAAAGGATCAAACCCGTCGCTGCTCGTCAGCCCATATACAACGGCATTGATTTTGATCCCGAAGATTTGGTTTAGCGCTTGCTTGCTTTGTCTTTCTTATTTCTTCTTTATTATTTTCGCACTCATGTCTTTCTGTCTATCTTTGTTTTCTGTTAGGTTCTATTATTTATTGGGATGTTCCGATGGGCTCCTATCGCAGAACACGTAATTTGTCTTTGTTTTCTTTTAAATATTTATTTTTTGTGGTTTTTTATTATCGATAATTTAGTACATACATTTTTGAGCTTCTGTCGTTCTTTTCTCAATCATCTTTTTTGTTTTATCTTCAGTAGGGGTACATAATTGCTTATAACCCGTGTTGATTCTGCTATGTATAAAAAAGAAGAAAGTACAAAATAATAAACTAAATGTTGTTGTTTGATACTGTATACTTATCGATGTCCAGTTCACTGGCGCTCGTAAGCTAGTCCCTGTAACTGCTGTAGTTTTGCTATTGCGTTTTCCGCAGGTGTAGTTCCGAGCTGCTGCAGCACACCTCCACCCACATTCGAGGAGGTCCTGGAGCAGAGGGCAGCCGCCCCACACGAGTCTGTCACTCCGGCAAGGATCAGGACCGCATCGCATACGTCCCATCACGTAAGCATGGTTAAAAGCTACAGGGAGGATACCGTCAGGTTAGTATCATAATCTTCATAATATTCTATTGTCATAATTTGTCTAATATTTTCAGCATAACTGATATACGTTTGGAGTCTCGGGCCGAGAACAAATCATCTCTGAGCGTGGAGTCTGGCAGTTCCGGCGCCGGCCACTCGAGTCATTCGCGAGGGCTTGCGTGGACGCCTCCTGCTTCCGTCGAGGGTTCCACACCCACATGGACTGAAGGCACACCCTCTTTCACGGAATCGTCGAGTAGCGGCGACATGGGTAAGTCGCGATTACGCCCTAATCTAAACTAAGCATGCCGTTATATGTTATGCGAATTCTGAGCTGTTCTGCATAAACGTAAACATTGGATAAGTGTTTTGACATACAGTTTGGGATTAACCATCAAAATACAATTCATGTGTAAGCACAAATAAAGTTTTTCCAGTTAATCTAAATTAGGTCTTTCGAGCATGCAAAAGTTTTTTTAATTTTACATTAATTTATTGCACAGACTAACGTCATCTTCTTTATGAATAGTATATTGAAATTAATCTAAATAAAGATAAAATACTTATATTTTCCAACGACATAACGATTGTTGGGACTCCTTGAAGAAAGACTGAACCTTGTATTTTATATTTGTCAAAACAGTATATTATTATGTAAGCATTTAAATATTTCCTTGTACCTTCATTTAGGTAATCTTGATTTTACTCTTTTATAATTGTTTAAATTACTAAGATTTTTTATATTAAATAATTATTATTTGTTAATTATGTAAATATATCCGATTTGTCATTATCAAATAGTCAACACGAATGGATTCTGCGAAATGTAGAATAACATAAAACTTATCCAATGTTTCGTTCTTTATATTAGATTAGTCTTATTGATTATATTAATTGCACTATCTCTGCACTCTTTAATATCCCGAAAAAAAAAATAGACAACAAGAACCTTATATAAATTTTTATTATTATATAATTAATAATTTTGCTATTTCTCTTTATTTTTACATTATTATATCTATTCTCCAATTTTCAAACCTGTTAGTTTCGCAACCCGTATAAATGTTCTTTAGTGACACAGAAGATTTATTTAGTTAGTTATCTCTAACCGATCCGAACCTAGTAGAACCTTCTGTGTACCTATAACTGTTGTTGAAATATTTTGAGTGAACTAAACAAACACGATAATAATCGTTAATCAATGGTTTTGATTTTTATTTGTGTGATATTATTTTTTTTTTGATTTTGATTTTGTGTTTATGTTTTTCTTTTGTCGATTGTTGTTGGTTTTGTTTGCTCATGTGCATACACGCATCGTGGAAAGGTCGTATGTAGGAAACAAACAGCATACCGTCTAAGGTTTATCTATATTTTTTTTTTAATCTGTTCATTATATAATCAATAATGCTAATCTATTTTGATCGAATTTTGTATCTATATGGCGTGGATGTGTGTAAATGTTATTGTAATCTGATTGCGTGATGCGATCTGAGAAAGAACAAGTTAGTTAGATGAAGAATGTGCAGGATGCCCGACGACACCGCTGAGGCAAGGATCGCACACTTCGTCGCATTCGAAGAAAACCGTCGAACACGCCATCAACTGTTTAACCACTGAAATGGTGAGTGCGAAATGATCAAACTATTCAATTTGCGAGAGAGAAAGAGAGAAATAAGAGAAACAATCGCTACACACTCACACATTTATTTATTTTAAGTGACACCACTGTATGTATATGCGATCGCAAGCCGCGCACGGTATTCTCTTTTCTTTTCGTATTTTGTTTTTATTTCAATATTAGCTTCATTATTCATTCCTTCAAGCTACATTTTCCATCGTGGAATTGTATACATATACCTGAATATACTTTACCTACAATTCCACCCTGTAAATAAAGCTTCAATCGAGCAAAGACAAAGTAATTCAAACCGCATATTTATCTCTATAGATATTATTAGTTGTTAAGGTAACTTAATATAATCAATATATTTTTATTCCATTTATATTTATCGTATATGCTTTTCTTTTTGTATTGTGGAAACAAATATTTTCATGTAAATGTAATTTGTGAAGTTAATTCGAAAATGTTTGTGTAGTATTTAAAATAATCTCAACTTAATTGAATTCCAATGTAGTTGAAATGATTCAATTCGGCAAGGTCAAAATAATTGGCCCAAATTATTAAAGCGATTTATTTTTAACTGACCATTTGCAAGTGATTTATATTATATTCTGTCACACGAAAAACTTTGTTCTTAAAGAATTTTACATTTAGATCTCTTCGTTGTTTTGTCTTATATCAAATATTGATTCTTACTAATTAGCTAAATCTTTTCGATTAGGGATTTATCTTTGATTTTTTTTTTTTACTATAATCACATCATCTTTGTTTCCACAAAACAAAAGCAAAAAAGTATTTACAATAATAAAGGTATAATAGTGAACTTAGCTGTAATTAATTTTGTGAAAAAGTTGTTATTACACTAATTTGCTTAAACGTTTAAAGTGAGAGAAAAACTTCTATTATTTCTTGAAATTCTCATCGAATAATGTATTTATTTATTTATTTTTTTCTATAACTTCGTATAATTTTGTCGCTTTTATTTTTCTCTAATATGTGTCCGTGGCACGTTCGTTCCTTGATTTCGTTCAAAAAAAAATTTCCAAAATTTCATCGCGAAACTGTTCTCTGTCTTTGTTCTTGCAACTCTCCGTCTTTGTACACAGTGCAATCTCTCAAAACAAACCAAACGCATTTTTGTCTCTTTCTAAATGTTTTTGTTTATTGGAAATTTAAGTTGAGGGAGAAAAGGCAATTGTTGACAGGTTTAAATGTTATTTTTTTTTAATTTGTGGTTTTCTTGGTGTTGCCTTTTTTTAAATTATTATTTTCTTGCTTGACCGTGAGACAAAATCCCATTAATTAATATTTTCATATACTTTTTAAAATATCTTAATTTTTAATAAGTTTATTTCTAATTAATAATTTAATGACTGAATGAATGAATGAAGATTATTAATGGGGATTTTGTTATAATTTTCTGTACTTGTTTGTATAGAATTCATTGAAAAGTCCACTGAAACTACGACGTCAGCTATTAATATAAGCGTTTTTCCACTCATTATAATAATTAATGAACTTTTTAATTGTTTAATAATTAATTTTCATAGTTTCTGTGGATTTTTATTTTTGATTTTTGATGAAAAAATTGATTCATTTAAATAAATAAATTGTAATTATATGCTGTGTACACTGACGATTCTTCGATCTGCTTCATGCTTGCTTTCCGCTGGACTACTACTCTATAGGAACAACTGAAGAAACAAGTAGACAAAGACTACATTGACGAATTGGTTTTGACCGGAGAAAAAGAGTCGAAAAGACATAACCGTAACCAATATTTCTTTACGAAATAATTTAAATGTGTAATGGCATCTTGTATTGATGAGACTACTTTGTAAGATCATGCGTATTATTATTAATTATTATTATTTTTTTTTATATAAATTCGACATTTTTATATCATTTTAGCCAAAGATAAAGAATCCATTCCATTCGTTCTTACAATATCTTTTCCACGATAAAGTCTTGCCGCCTTTTTGTTATAAATTTTAAGTTTGAAATAACAAAAAAAAAATATCTAATTAAAACTAACAGTTTATTGATGATTTTCTGTCTGTTAACCCAGTTTTCTTTTTTTGAGACTAACGCCATAAAACAATATAAATTCATAATTTTCTTTCTTCTTTCTTTTCTTCTGTTTCCAGACTGTGGAAAGGTTTTATTATGTGGATTGGTGAGAGGTTGCATTGAAACCATGAATAAACTGTAACGGTTTTTTTTTATATTTATTTTATATGTTGTTACGATCATTCCATGCTTTTGTCAATGGTACAATGTTGTTACTCGGTCAGAGAAGAGATTTTTTCCCGTTGATACTCGTATATCAATCCGAAACATTAATCGGACTTTTTTTTTACTCCTATTAGGGTATGCAATCTGTTAATAATTGTATATTGTAGATTTTGTCATGATAGTGGATATTGTATAAAAAATAAACGAAATGGAATTCCAATTCGCAAATTGCAATATATAAATATTACGATGATTGAAAAAGTAATCTTGCAATGTATAAAATAAAGTTCATAACTTTTGCATTCGCTTTAGTGAACAGTATTAGGGTTTAATATAAATGTATAATTAGTATTTATTTTCATTCTTGTTAAGAATTGACAAGTTCAAAACAAAACTGTATTTTCCAGAAAAGAAAAGATGTCATTGATATAACGTTTCTTATCATTTATCACACTATTTATTTTTAATTTCCATCTTTAATTCTGAAATATAAAGAAACACCATCCACAACCATTTCGAAAAGACAAACACTGACTTTGTCTTTTGTATTTGTTTATTGTTATTATATATTATTTTTGTTATTTTTTTTTTTTTCATTTGTATGTGTATCTTTGGATTTGTTATTTGTGTAAGTTAGGGAGATAAAAACATTGTTGAACGAATCTTGCGAGAGAAACAAAAAAAAAATTGGAATAATTTTAATATTAAATTGATAATATTGCGAATTGTAAACTCGATGTGTCAAAAATTGGATATGATAAGCGTGTCAGAGCTTCACTTTGTTTTACATACTGATTGGCTTAGGTATCTTTAACATTGTCGAGGTGATTTGTGACTTGAACACACTTGGATTCCATCAATTGAGTTCCTTTACTTTTCTATTCTAGTCTAATATCGAAATTTATGTTGTAAACTTTAAATGCTTTAATTTTTTTTTTGATAATTTTGATAAATATGCGAGGTTTCGACTACTAACCATAATATTATATGAATATTAGTTTGTAAAGATGTATTAGATCAGTACATCAATCTAAAATTGATATATAATTAAGAAATAAGATTGTGATACATTCATCCAGTGCAACTTAAGTAATAAGTTTTTTTATTTTAATTTGAATTTATACTGAGTGTTTTTGAGCCCCGAAACATCTCGACGCAATTGTAATTGTTATTATGACAATGCAGTGTTGAAGAAATTTTAACGACGATACATTTATTATGTGCGAAACGTATTGAGGAAAAAAATTGTAGAGAAAAAAAACTGGATTCGCTTCTTTAAAAACGAATTTTTATACCCACAAATGTTAATGATTAGGCTTTTAAGGATTAAACGAACATTAAAGAAACAAACATTGTGACAACGAAAGTGTATTTATTTTATTGTTTTTTCATGCCCACGCATTTCTATCTCCAGATTGATTGACGTGCACGTTTCGATATTGAAATCCGGAAGATGGAAAACCTGGACATTCTTTTACATTTATTTATTAATTTATTTATTTTGCTGTTGTTCATTTCAAGCGTCATCTTCAAAATGTATATTATTACCTATAACTAAGTACGAGTCAAAAAAAAATATTTCAACATGAACTTCGTTTGTGTCGTTTGATTTTCTTTAGTAGACTTAGAACCTTCCGATGTTACGATTATTATTTTTTTTTGGTACAGGTTTTTCTTGTTGTACATAATTGCATGAATTGCATGTGACTTACGTCTGGACGGGGCTTTCTTGGGGGGGGTTTGTATCTAACTCAATTTTGTTTCTCGTCGGACTGTTTATTCTTATATTTCTTTATTTATTATTTTTTTAATTTTTACTTTAGTATTTTTTTTTTGTTTGGATTGAACGTTTTGTTTTTGTTTTTCTTTTCTTTTCTAGACGCATCTGTGAGGAAGCGGCGGCGCTAAAATCAAAGCAATGCAAAAAAAACACACACACACTAAATTAATTAATTGATTGATTGATTATTAAGACTTAAGAGTACTTCCATGTTGTTCATATTATGTGTTTTCTTTTTCTTTTGGATTTCTAGCGTCCAAAAAGGTAATTAAATTCGTGCTCAGGAACGAGGTAGGTGGTAGAAGTAAATACGAGGATGCATGAGTTGATTACTCGTTTATTTAACGATCAATTAAAGAGAGAAAGCAACAAAAAAAAACGTCAAAAATCATTTTTTGCTATTGTGTTGTTGTTGTTTTTTTTATATATATATAATTTTATTTATACAAGAGATTCTGTACGTTGTGTGTGAGAAAGTGAATTTAGTCTAATTTATTATGTAATATATTTATGTATAATACAAAAGAGGAAAATTGTCGAAAGAGAAAAGGTAATAGCAGATTTTTGACCAATGTATTTGTATTGATGGTGTTCATAAATGAGTTTTTTTGTTGTCATTTTTTTTTTAATTATTTTAATGTGATTGTAAATGAAGACCGGGGTTCCGCCGATGATTTGATGAAGACGCCAAGAAACACGTTTAGAAAGATACCCCAAGATGATTCAATAAGCCAAAGATGATTAACTACTATTTTTCTTTTTTTTATATATATATTATTTCCTTACAAGCCGAATAATAATTGCATCTGCTTGCTTCAATATATTGTATAGCTTATTGTGAAAAAGAAAAGAAACTAAAACTATAGTCGATGTGTGCATTATGTAATATATAATATAATAATAAATGTCGATGGTGCGCAAGTTGCAATAGTATGTAGCCGATTCGCTGAACAATTATATCTGGCGGATGCAAAGCAAACCTGATATTCCACTGCAATGGCCTACATGTATATTATTTCTATTTATTTCTAGCCAAATAGATTATTAATAATAACTATAACTGTATTCTACATGATGGGAAGAGTGATTGTAAATTATGTTCAGATGACATTTATTATGTAGAGGACATATATTTAGCAGTCCGAATTGTTTAGTCATCACTGTGTACTTCATTTATTATTTGATCATCAGATAGTAATATTAATAATAATAACTGTAAGTACTTATTGTGCCACATGTATTAATAACAGACAGGAGACTTGATGCAAAACACAACACACAGTGTATATATATATATAATATGAAATACGCCTTGTTCTCTTTCTTTGTTTCTTTTTCTCGTGAAAAATGCAGGCATTTTTTAATTTTTTTTTTTTGCCCAGTCAAATCGTTTCTCAATCTTGTCTTATACTCTTTTTACTCTACATATAAATATATACAAACATATATATTTTTTAATAATTATTATTATTATACGTAATTCTTATTATTGGAACATTTATTATATATACATTTTTATTTTATTTATTCTCTGAAAAATAAATTGTAGCCTTCCTATTTGAACTAACTGCCACCGCCTCTGGTCTTTCATTTATTTATTCTCGCTCCCCCTCTGTTAGATATTTAACTATAGTTAGTGCATCTAACAACACTAATCCCACTTTGTTTCTGTGTAATATATTTAAGCTTCTTACATTAATTTTCGTACCATTTTCTGGTGATCAATGAAATAAAAGGTAAGTGAATATTTACTTTTTTTATTGGTATTAACTTAATTTATGAAACATTCCAAAGAGATCACGGCTGGAATGGAACCGTGGTACTGTGTGATTCTTATCCTAGGTCCCCTCTCAATCTGACTTGCAAGGGCCAATGTCAGCATCTAAGACTTGGTTTTATCTTTCTCTTGCAGTATCGCTTTCGTCTTTTCTGGAGCTAAGTTGAGCCCCTTCCTGTCCATCCACTTCTGTATGTTTAGGATCGTCGAGTTTGCTGACTCAACCAGCAACCACTGCTAGATCGTCCGCGTAATCTAGGACTCTTCGAGCTGTTTTATTAGGCAATGTTCCACGGCGTGGAGCCTAACACCGATCCCTGTGGCACGCCATCTCGTTTTCTCCTGAATCATTTGTTATTTTGATCTTCCTGTCGCCTCTTCTTCTCAGTTCTTTCCTTGTCACAGTGTTGAAGGCGTTTCTGACGTCCAATGTTAGCATCGCGCGTAGTCTTTGAGTTCTGCAAGAAACAAACAAACAGTGATAGCCTAGGGTAGTGTTTTCGAAACTGCTAAGAACGTCAATTTTCCAAATGACTGCTAAAGTTTTGTCTATTTTATGAAATGGAAGGGCAGACGCAAAATGATTAAATATTTGTAAGGTGGGGACATAGTAACATCAAGTTTAGAAACCACTGGCCTAGGTCTCCCAAAGTTAACGGTCCAAGATCCTGTGAACACTATAATAAACATATTTATTTCCTGTTATGATGGCAATAACAATCATTATCTCGGTTAACGTTTCTAATAACGAATTAGACTAGAAAGTTATTTCAGTTAAAACTTTTAGGAGAAACTACATCCTTTGGAATGAAATATGGTCAGAAGTTTTGCTAGAAGATGAAAATAATATCAAAAAAAAAAATAGAAATGAATTTGGATACCAATAACTCAATCAAAATTTTTCAAAAATGTCTAAAATTTATTGATTACAGAAGATTATGGTTTTTCAGTGTTAAATTAAGACGAAATAAATGATATTAAAAACTTTTTTCTAGGAACAAGTGATATAGTTAAGATAGTGATATTAAGAAAAAGAAAGCACAAACAATCCACATTAGACTCGTATTTTAAAATGTGATTACATTTTGTATATAAGTTGACTGTTTATTTAAATAATTTTATATTCGTTAATCGAGGTATAACTGTATACAATGCTGTTTTGATTTTCAGCAAGAACTTTTAGAAAATTTCTATGTTTCACTTGAATCATTCTTCAACAGATGAACAAGAAACAACAAAAAACAGAATTTTGAAGATCTGCAATTTACATAACAAATTTTAGAATAAAATGGAGCAAAGTATAAACAAATTAGCTATCGCACAATTTTCTATAATTGCGAATTGTACGATAATAATTTGATGTTATTGTCTCAAATAATCATCGATAAGTAGTAAGTAATTATTTACTCTCTGTCACAATATAATCAATAATTGTAAAGATTTATGTAAGTAAAATTAAGTTTATAATAAAGATTTATTTTTTAATCTTCCAGTTATCTAAACATCGAAATCGAATCTACCTTGTAAATACAAAACAAGGTAATAAATTACTCTTCATCTACATTGTTATTACCATATTAAGAAGCAGCATCAAAGAAGCAAAGATTTTTTAAGGTTTCATATTATGAAACTGCTCACTCATTATTCATCAATGTCCCAATAATTACACTTTTTTCTATATCTACAGCGCATTTGCTTATCGTGTGTGTATATGTACACAACGTATGAAAGTATCCTTGAAAAATAGTATTTTTTTTACAAATATACTCGAAATGATCCTCATAGCAACACATTTAGTTTTCAATTATAGATTTTTTCAAGCTGCGGTTAAATTTCCCAGCGCATAACATAAATAAATATTTATATTAAGTGGATGTGGACTTTCTTTCTAATCCTTTAATGTTTGATATTTTGAAAGATTTTTTTAGGTAATTTTTATGTTCGTTTTGCAACTACAGCGATCTGTGTTGTTTATTAACTGAAGGTTTGCAAGTGACATTAAAGTTTGAATAATTTCTGCATTTTATTACATTCTGTTATAAATTAATGTCTCTTCAAATCGCTGTGCCAAAGTAAAAGTTGTTATATGTTTTAAACATATGTAAATTCATTGAAAGCAAAACAAAGATTACAATAAATCTTATCAGAAATTAAGGGTGGAACAACCTAGGTCGATAGACTTTTAGTCATAATTGTAGCTCATAAATAAATAAATTCTAAGAATAAATGCGTTATTGAAGTATGTATCTATAATTAGGTTAAATTGTAGCTAAATTAGATTGTCCTCTGATTTATTTTTTTTATTTCAGTAAATACTTCTTAGACGCCGATTGTTCGCGTTGCGTAATGTCGCTGTGAGCAAAGTTCGCGCGTACATTCATAACGAATTGCTACATTTGCCGAGTTGTTGTTCAATTGAATAAGTGCACGGATTGAATCCTTCCTCGTAAATTTATCTCAGTTCGCCTAGACTTTCGTCTCGTCTGGTCTCAGACTGCAGTAGTTCAAATTGTTGTCTCGTAATTTGGAAGAATTCAATACATTTCTTATTGGATTTAAGCTATTTAGTTGTTGCGCATCCTCTTTTGTATGTATTCATTGTATGTTTGTATCTTATGGATGAATCGTAGTTCTTTTTGAACGTCTGAGTTTTTTTTTTTCCTTGTTGATCACCTTTGATGTTTGTGTCAATCGAACCCAGTGTCAGCTGTTCTCTCGCGATTCTGTCAAAATGGACGACGTGTCAGTTTTTTGGTAAAAATATTTGCCCCCCTCGAAGTGTGTCTTCTTTTGTTTTAATTTTATCCTAGAAGGGGGTATCCAATCAAAATTCTCCAGCGGTGTGCGTGGAGGTGCGAGAGTGCGTTCAAGGGATTATTATTTGTTTTTGTTCCTGCGGGGGCACCATGAGTGACGTGGTTAGTGTGAAGGGTCAAAACGCCTCTTCGTCTCTGGGGGGCCAGAATGACCCTGACATGAAGGGCTGGCTCTTCAAATGGACTAACTACCTGAAGGGTTACCAACGAAGGTGGTTTGTCCTCCAGAATGGCCTTCTGTCATACTACAGGTTAGAGTAATTCCAATAGTAAAGCTCCCCCTGTTCTGCGAAACTGTCTTTGCAGCCCTCCGAAATCCATTCACAAGCACAACAATTCTTCATTTTTTATGTTTACATTTAGTTCTATCACTTTCTATTTTTTTTCTTTGTGTTACAAGTTAGAATTATAATATTTGTGCAGGGCTGAACACAACGGCGGCGTATCAACGCTATCAATAAGAAGGCGACGCAAATTTCGAAATGGGTAAGTGTAAATGTTCACAAAACAGCCCTGCATAGTATCTAATTCTAATTTTGCATTTCTATCATCTGTTTATTGTTAACCTAAATATATACTAATGCCATGTACCTTGCAGGAACCAAGCCGAGATGACACACACCTGCCGTGGCAGTATTTCCCTGCATGGTGCATTAATCTATCCGGTAGATGCCTGCACCTTTGTCATTTCCAATGGGGGCACGCAGACCTTCCATATCAGGGCTGCATCTGAAGTGGAGAGGCAATGTTGGGTCACAGCATTAGAACTTGCTAAAGCTAAAGCAATGTAAGTTCTTCAATATCTCCTCTTGAAACTGATGTTTAAAGTGGAAATATTTTGTTTACATATAATTGACAGCTAAGCATACTCTAACTAATTTCTAATTTCATACTTTCAATCTCAGCCGTAACATGGAATCAGAGGAGGATGAAGAGGAACAGGATGCTGCTTCTGGTTCACCAGAAGAATGGTCCAGCATTGTCAGGGAATTGCAAAGTCGTTTGGAGGATTTGCAAACCTGCTCAGATCTGATTGGAAAGCATGGAGCTGCCCTTCAAAGGGCTTTAGGAGAGTTGGAAATGAATGTGGACCAAGAGTCCGCACAAGGAAAATCCAAAGCCGTCAGTGAAAGGGCAACATTGTTCCGTATCGCCAGCAACGCAATGATTAACGTAAATATATCTACGGAAAATCTTAAGATAATTAACTTATGCACAATGTAAATATTCTTATAGGCTTGTTCAGAATATCTATCCACTGCTCAAACACATGGTCATAAATGGACCAGACTTTTGCAACACGAACGCGAACAGAGGCAGAGACTGCAGGAGATGGTAGAAACATTGGCTCAGCAACATTCAAAATTGGAACAGGCAGCGGCCGCAAACGCCAAGAGACCAAGTAAGTTTGTTATTTTTATAAAAAAAACTTCATAAGCAAACTTTAATACGCGTTAATTGAGTTGCATACTATTCATTAGTTTAATTATAATGCAATACCTATAAATACCGATACTATTGTCACGGGTTCCAAGATCCGAAATTAATTTGAAAATAAGTATCGATTTATATTTATAATACGCTCTCTCGCGTCATAGAATGTTTGATATTTAACAAACATTAGGTGTCTCTTATTACAAAATTCATTGCAGACTTCTAGAAATATAATGCTAAAGTATAAATCGTTTGGATGTTGTTTGCTGTAGTGATTTACATCCAAAAACAATTTGCAGTTGAAAAGGAATACTTCGTGGTGTTAAAAGATATCGGTGATTTGATTTCTATTTTTAACTTTTTTTAGTCGCGGATATTTTTAATAATTGCCCGCCGTATATTTTTATCATTTTTGTATACGCAATTTAATTAATCATGTTATTTTATATAACATCAAAATATTTCTGTTTATTCATAATAACTTTATTGTTTGAAACAAAGATTTTTTAATTATTCAAACTATTAGCAAATATATAAAATCAATTAATAATATAGTTACATATTTTTTGTTTTGTTATAATAATACATAACTTCTCACGAATTATTTACTAACATTTAATTATTTTGTGGTATTGATTATGTTGAAGTGCAAAAGTAGTTCGTATTGCATTGAGTTTGACCTACTTTATTGTTGCCGATTAGAATTGTTGACACCATCGCGGAGGAGGAATTCAAATGACATTTATAACCTTAAATTCACCTGACACTTTGGCAAAAATTATGTTGAAGAGCTAAATTTTATTGTGTACACTTTACTTAATTAAATTTTAATGAAATTGAATAGTGACAGAAAATACATGTTGATCTAGAAAATTCTTCAGTAATCTTGTATGTTGTTGCTTCAAGTTGTGCATAGTTTTTGAGTGAGAGATTCACTTCAGTTATTTCTTTCTTTCAGATGGTCCAGTGAGTGCAAGTGAAGAAGAGGAGGATGAGAATGAGTTTTATGATGCTGTCGCCGATGGTTATTCAAGCACTGAACAGCAACAGTTTACTCTGAACATTCCTACTGGGGCTTCAGGCCATCGGCGCCACAGTTCAGATAGTTCTTCTGAGACTGATGATACTACACAAGAAACTCATCAAGTGAGTGTTTTTTATTTTTTTGTATTATATTTATGATGTGGTGGGGCATTTTATACATGTTGTGGCAAGAAGATAACTTATTTGCTTATCATGAAACTGATTTCCTGTATTTTGTTGTTGTTCATTCATACATTTTATTATAGGTCGTAGTCCGTACATCGAATTTGCACGAGAAACGGGTAGCCTCAGGGGACGGAAAAGAAGACAAATTCGAGGACGGTGAGTTTGGCGAAGTGGCTGCTTCAACTTCAAGGGTGGGTCTGAGGGGGGGTGGCGCCCGCAGCAGACGCACTACAGTTCCTGAAAAGCCCAACTACCCACTAAATCTATGGAGCATCGTAAAGAACTGCATCGGAAAAGATCTGTCCAAGATCCCGATGCCTGTCAACTTCAGCGAACCCCTATCCATGTTACAGCGTCTAGCCGAGGACTTCGAATATGCCGACATCCTGGATAAAGCTGCTACGTATGTTTCAGTTATTTCTTTTCAAGTTTATTAACTAGATCAGTGGTTCTCAAACTTTTTAGTCTGTGACTCCCTTTTGCACAAATTGAAGGACCCACCGAAGAATGAGTATGTACAGAAAACATCATGTCCCAAATATTATTCGCGACTCCCACTTTGAGAATCACTGAACTAGACTATTATTTACATTCTCTCTTTCAAATCATTACTAAAAAATGGGAAAAGTACAAAAGAAAATCAAATTATTGATTTTTTTTTAATTTATCATCAAACTATAACTTTTAGGAAGCTGAACGATTCGGTATTAATAATATATCGTAAATCCTATTACATTTTGTCATTTGCTTTGATGAAAATCAAATCGGTTATTAGTGATGCAGACACCGAAAACTAAATTGTCCACTTTCTATAATACAATCCATTATGTAAAAAAGAAGCATTTTATCTCTCATGACTACTATTGTTATCTAATGATTGCTTCCTTATTTTTAAATTAGCTGCACGGATGTTTGCGAGCAACTGGCTTATGTTGCTGCATTTACTATTTCCTCATACTCTACCACTAGTTCACGTACAGGAAAACCGTTCAATCCTCTTTTAGGTGAGTTATTCAATGTTCATTTTAAAATTTCCGTTAAGACATTTATTGCGACTCATTTTTTAATTGTATATTTCACGTTAATCAGAAGTCATTAATTAATTTTATATAATTACAAAGTTATCATTTTATTTAATGATGTAAAATGATTGCAGTAATTATCTTAAAATAATTATCTTAAAATTAAATAAAATTTTCTTAGAATTAATGCTAATTGTAATTTTGTAGGTGAAACATTTGAATTCGATAGAAGTGATGATTTGGGATGGAAGCTTGTGTCTGAGCAGGTGTCCCATCATCCTCCGATGGTTGCACAACATTGCGAGGGCCGCGGATGGATTTGCTGGCAAGAGTTCACGATGACATCGAAGTTCCGTGGAAAGTATCTGCAAGTGGTTCCACTAGGAACGGCTACTGTGGAGTTCGCCAACGGCAACAAATTCTCGTGGCGAAAGGTGACAACGACCGTGCACAACATCATCGTTGGAAAACTCTGGGTCGACCAGCACGGCGACATGGATATTGTCGGAAAGGATGCCGCCGAAGGAATTACGTGCCATCTAAAGTATGTACCCTACTCATACTTCAGTAAAGATTCGCAAAGGCGAGTAAAGGGAGCAGTCATGGACACTTCGGATACCGTGAAATGGATTATCAATGGCACCTGGGATGACAGAGTAGATGTTTCTCAGGTTACTAAACCTGTTAGCGGTAGTAATAATAATTCTGTTTACGAAACCGGAGCGCCGGCTCTAGCCTGGAAACGAAATATGCCCGATAAGGAAGCAGAAAAGTACTACGGTTTTACACTGTTGGCTAGTCAACTCAATGAACCTGAGGATGGTGTTGCTCCAACTGATAGCAGGTAATTTAATCAACAAGTACATACAATCAAATTTTGAATGCTTATTTCCTCCTCATTATTTATAGGTTGAGGCCAGATCAAAGGTTGATGGAGAACGGAGAGTGGGATGATGCTAACAAGGAGAAGCTCAGATTGGAAGAGAAGCAGCGGGCAGCTCGTAGAAGACGCGAGGCTGAAGTAGAGAAAGCTGCTATAGATGGTGAGTTTTCCACATTTCAATTTAATTCATTTATTTTATAACATTTACAATATCTTAATTATAAAACTAATTACACTGTTTTTCATTTAGTAAATGAATCATTGATTTGTTATTTCTGATCACAGACATGTACAATTTTCATGTTATATTCGACTTACATTATTCTATTATTGGTTTTCATACAATATGGTTGAAGAACCAGCAGTTAATGTATATATTTGTAGTCCAAAGATATTTGTTTGTAGGCATAGTAAATTATTCTTATTAATATTTTTAGGTGAAGCATACCCTCCGTACGAACCCATCTGGTTCAAGCAGGTTAAAGACGACAACGATTCAATTGTACATGTATATAAGGGCAATTATTGGACGGCCAAAAAGAACCAGGATTGGGCCAACTGTCCGGACATATTTTAATCATTATTAGGAAACTTCGTTTTTCTGAGAGAAAGATGCATTTTTGTCCTAAAATCTTTTATTTTATATATATATATTATATTTACTTTCTGTTATCCTTACTGAATTTGTTTCACACCACACACTGACACACACAAACACGAGATTAAGTTTTAAACCGAAGAATTCTTCCAAACTTATATTTTAGCTATTTAGATCTATTATTATACATAAATAATATTGCCTTTCCCCCTGTTGTTTTCTTATAATGGAGTGTTTCGAGCTAAAGCAGTCAATATTAATTTTGTAATTATTGCAATTACCTTGTGATACGCTGACACAAAACAAATATAATGTATAAACCATATTTAAGATCATGATTTATTTGTATGTGCCGTCGGGGGGGATACGGAATGAAGAAAGAAAGAAAAAAAGGTACTAAAACTATGCCTTCTTTTTCTGTATATGAATCATTTTTATTCTTTTTTATGTAGACTCTCTTATCTGTTCGTTTTTTTTTTATGTTCTAGGCTGATTGTTGTAAATATTGTATGAATATTATATACTTATTATTATACGTAATAGAGAATTATTCTTATTGGGAAATACCGAGTGAATTGAAACGTGTAGTGAGGAAACTACTTTGGAGGATGAAATTTAATTGTATCTAATGCTTCTTATTTCGCGAGATATAATATTACGATTAATACATGTAGTGAGGATGATGTTCCGATCCAAGTTCTCATTCATATTTATTTTAAAAATTGTGTTGATTATGAGGGCTTTGGAGATTACTCAACTAAACTAAATATAATAAAATTGCCGATTAATTTCGAAACTTCTATGTTGTTGTTGTTGTTGTTTTTCTCTTTCTTTAATCATATTACAATTTCCTTTTACGTAAGATGCTAATTGTTTCATCTTTTGTCGCGGCGGTTTTTATAATTAACATCTTTACTTTGATTTACGTTTTAATACAAATATTTGGAATACCGCCGCCCATTACAACAACAAAAAAAAATACAGTTTTGATTTTACATTATCATCACAACGATAATTATGTTACTTGTTGATACAAAAGAAATTTATATGTGTAATTAACCCGACATAACCCAAATAAATAATATTTATTGCAATAATAAGTTACAAAATAAAAACTCCAACTTTTCGTATTCATTCGGAAAAATCTGTCAATTTTCCTGTTTTATATTCTATTAATTGTATAGTCGTATTTTCCTGTTGATATTTATGACTGCAAATTTATATACTTATGTTTCAATTTTAATCTAGTTTAGAAACGAAATCTAATCTTCAGATAAATTTATCTAAGCAAATAGGTAATTTATACATATTTAGTACTAAAAATATTAAAGTAGATTTGATTATTCCTATATTATATAAAGGAACACATCATGATTTACTTATAGAAATATGACGAATTTATGATTATTTAACAACAAGTAATTACTATTGTTAATTGATTAAAATTTATCTTCAAATATTCTAATCATAAACATACATAAGGAATGGAGAATATTATACAAATATATTGATTTCAACATATATTTTACTGCATATTGAAAATTACACTACCTTACAAAAACAAATCTCAAAATTTTAGTCTATTAAATAAATATTTGTATAAAATTATTGAAAAAAAAGTTAACTAAAGTTGTGAGAAAAAAAAATTAATATTTTAATTGTAGCAGTTGATCTTACATATTAATTATATTATTACATATTAATGTATGTATTTCATTTTTATTATTTTATGTCAGAATTTCTAAGATTCAAAACTACAAAAACAAACTATTCTTTTACATGATACAAATAAATTTGTATTAAATATAATATTTCCACACATATCATCATTAATTTTCTGTTTTTTTTTTATATATACAATTTAATTTTTGAAAATCATTCATCGTGACAAGGTGTAAGCTACAATGTCATGAAATGTATATAATTCTATTTATAAAATAAATATTATTCTTTATTACAATACATATGACCTTTAGGAAATGTATTAGTTGTGTAGGCCCTTCAAAAGCCGACAACTTACCCCATGGAATTTCTCTTGTAACTATAATCGTTATGGGGATATTTGGGGTGGCCACGTCATATGGCCCACCCTGTATATATTATCGTGCAAAGAGCATTTCGATGACTAATCAGATTAATAAAAATAATTTAGAAATACTTCCAACATGTATATTCAATTATATTGTTTCAATAATAGGATGATATTTATCTACTAAATAAAACAATGAATTTGCAATGTTATTTTTAAGAAAAAGTTGCATTACATAACATAAAAAATGATATGCCAATCGTAAAGTGATTTTCTTATTTTATTTCAAACAAATTGAACTTGAAGAAAAAATATATTCTTTTGAGCGGTTGGCAAGTGATTCAAATTGGATTGTGAATAACTTTGATGTTATATACAAAAATTAGATTGTTAAGACGTGCGGCTTTTGAATAAAAGAGATTTTCATTTTATATATTTGTAAATCGGTTTTAAAAAAAACGCAATTTTTAATAATCTGCATTATTGCAATTAGCTGTGGAAAAACAAAAGAGAAAACAAAATTTGTGTGTTTGCATTTGGTGACGGCTAGCTTTTTTTGTAAAAACGCCTCAGTGGAAAAGCGATCGAAATATAAAGTGCTGTCGGGGTGTGAAAAATATCGGCGGATTGTTGTCGTTAACCAACGAAGAGGAGTAGAATTGAAGGAAGGACGTAGGACGAAGGAGGATAAAATAAAGCAATCGAAAGAACAGGAACGGTGGTGCGCATGCGTGCGCTGACGTCATGTTGACGTAGCCGATTTTGGTTGATGGTTGGGCCGTGTCAAGCGCAGCAGTCGGTTCTTGCCCCTTCTACCATTTTGTGGAAGTGCGTTCCGGTGTGAGGAGAGAGAGGAGACAGTCGCGGCCATATTTGTCTCTCAGTCATCGTTTGTGTGCTTGGTGCAAAGAAAGTACAAAAGCGTTGCGAGGAAGAAAAAAGGCTCTGAACACACAAGCAAATTCGAAGAGAAAAGAAACGGCAGTGTAGACGGAGAACGACTGATATAGATAGGCGTAAAGAGTGAGAGAGATAGTAAGAATAAGCGAAGAGCGGCAGCTAAGAGTCAGTCCCGCAAGCGAGCACAGAAGGCAGCACCGAGAGAAAGAGGCTGAGGTTCCTTTTTTCGGCGTCGTCGGTGTTTTTCGTGTGTGGCTGTAGGCCCCGTAGAGGAACGTTTTTGTTGCGCGAGTAGTTTTTTTTGGTTTTCCAGAAGACTTGAAGAGAAAACACGAAGAACCGGAGCTATGTCGGAACGTGAGGATAACGTGTACAAGGCAAAATTGGCCGAACAGGCTGAGCGATATGACGGTGAGTAAAATCCGAGTCGGGCGGCGGTCGCTTGGGGGGATTCTCATTTGATTCTCCTCTTGCCCGGATCACACGCCCCATCTTGCTTTTTTTTT